CATGCTTGCCATAATACTCTCCACCTCGGTCAGATCTAACAACCTTTATGACCTTTCCCAACTATTTCTCGACTTCAGTCCGAAAAATCTTGAACTTGTCAAGAGACTTAGACTTTTCTTTAATCAAGTACAGATAGCCATATCGAGAATATTCATCAATAAATGTGATGAAATAAAAATTTCTACACAAGATTACCGTATAGGGTCCACTTATGTCAGTGTGAATGACCTCTAACAGGTCAGAACTTCGGACTGTAGTTTTCTTCCTTATCTTGGTCATTTTACCTCTACAACAGTCTACGCGTGTCTCTAGGTCATCTTTAAGAGCAGGCATGATGTTAGTCTTTATCAACCTTTCTACTCTATCCTTAGATATATGACCAAGCCATTTATGCCACAATGCATAAGACTGTTCCTTAGGTAGTGGTCTCTTGGAAACAACCTTTTCAGCCGTATAAGCGACGTATATGTCATTGGGAGACAAACACAATCTGTACAATCCGCTTGACATATTACAGCACTCAACCTTATTTGAATTAAGAAACAAAGAAATAACATTGTTCTTGATTTCAAAAGAGTAGCCATACATGTCCAAACACGATACGGAAACTAAGTTCCGTCTAAAAGAAGGTACATAAAAAGTGTCTTTATAATCCCAAAATCAGGTGGAAGGGTGTTCAGGGCTTGATGCACAATGCAAGCATCATGAATGGAAACATTAAGAGCTTGAAGCTTCGTCTTTAGGTCTACCATCCTAAGGACATAATCTCTAACCCCAGTAGTACCATCATATTTCATATTGAAGAGCATTTGAAGAAGTGTACCAACCTCAGCATTAGATGAAATGCGGTTTCTAGCCTCTAAGGCTGCCATCATTTCCTTAGCAGTACAGTCAGCTGGCAAACCACTTTTCAAGTGTTCTTGAATGGATTTCTTCATTGTCAATAAGCAAATCCGATTGCTCTTTTCCCAAGCAACATAGTGCGCTTTCTCATCTTCAGTACTAATGGCCGTGATATCTGCCGGCTTATTGTTTGTAAGAGCAATGCGAACATCTGCCAGCTCCATTCCAAATAGAAAATCCTCTTTCCATTTCTTAAAATTCAACCCAGTAAGGACCTTAATGGAAATGGAATTGTCGTTTACAGAAAAGGTAACTGGAAAATAAACAAATAATACAATCAGCATCATGTGAGTACTTATGCATAGAGTTACATACATCATCACATAATCACCTTTGGGCAGAAAATATGACATGCAGTTGTACACTCTCTACATGACAGCGGCCATGAGAACATATTCTAATTTTTCGTGAAATCACCACCTTTGGGTGTATGAACTACTAAAATCAGTCATTCCTCAAGCACATGCCATACATGTATCCCTCCATGAACCAATACAGAATCACCTCCTTTGGGAGTATGACCACGCATTAGAACAGGAGACATCCCACCACAATATGAGACTGATATTTCTCAAACCCAGTCAAGTGTGCCACTTTGGCGGTCACTACCCAACTGAATCTTTGAAAATCTCTCATACCAGGGATATGAGCTTTATATATCACATTCACTATATACATGTAATGCTAGATGTAAAGATAGGGGCATATATCTCTGAAATTACATGTCATGCTAATTATATTGTTCCATTCATTGATAGACAATAAATTACACTCTACACAGTCCTTATGTGGTGATATACATGGGAGTTACCATATGCATTTCCGAAACCATAGAGAAATACAAGAAAATACGCAAAATTACCCTAAAAATACGCGTATATAGGGTTCTATACGTATTTTCACATCTTTAAAAGCTTCAACCATGTAAAATAAATACACCACAATGTAGAGAATCTCGATATGAGCGCGTCGATACTAAGAACGTCCCAAACGGACGCCGGACGCGCCCACACGCGTCGCCGGACAACGCGGCGCGTACGCGCATGTTCAGTCGGTCAAACCGGTCTGAACCGCCGGTCCGATCGGTCAATGGTCAACGAACGAGTCTGACCGATTGACCGATCGGGTCAACGGTCGGGTGAGGATTCGGGTCTCGTCCGCTAACGTCATGCTGACGTCATCAAGCAGTTACTAGCGAAAAACGCGCCGGTTCGGCACGACTGCACGTGGCAATCACGCGCCGCCGTGCCCACGACGCGTGAGGGCGCGTGCGGCCTCGTCCGGTGACGTGCTGCCCGTCAATCTTCTCGTCTCGATGAGTAGATTCCGAATATGTAATAAAATTTTACATTCATCTGACAAAAAATTCCGAAAATGGGTAAAAATCTCTCGGACATAACGAAAACGGTCCTAATCCGCATGTTTCAGTTCTAATTTATGGCAGGCTCTCATACCATATGTTGGTCACGAAAATGACACCCCCAGGATCACCATAATCATAAACCGAAACACGTAAATGGAGAAATCATCGATTCGCGTACCTGGTTTGGAATCCATCGAACTTGACACGGAATTTGCTATGGTTTCCGAACACGAACTCAAGTGCATCTCCCCTATACCCTTCGTCGGACACTGGCCTAATGAGATTGCCACTCACGAGAAGAAATTCCTCTCTAGATCCGTATGTGAGTCAGATTGTGCATTATCCGGTTAAGGGAGGGACTTGAGTGCTATTTATAGAGTTTTCGACCACGGGCCCTCTCATTACGGGTCGGATCGTACTCGGCCTACACTAGCCAGCCCCATATTAGACTTATTAAGAACCCACATATCTCACCTCTATTAGACTAAACTAATTAAGTTAATTTCAATTAATGAAACCCACATTAGAAAATTCTTACATCCATATCTTCTGATACTTTAGACAGACTAAATCCAAGTGATCGAACGGTCGTACAATATGGTTTTGACGAGGTATGAAGTGATAGTGGCAGTGGGAAACCAAACGCTCAAAGGGCGGCTTGGCAGTTTGAAAGAAGTTTCGCCCCCCCACCCACCTCCATGACCAAGACAATAAGAACTTTGTGTCCGCGTTTCAAACAAGAAGACTAGAAGAAAGGAACCCGAGTGAGGAAGAAGCACAACATTCCTTGGTTAAGTTTCCTAAGCTCAGTCTCTTGTGGAAAGTGTTGGGTAAATGGGAGCAAAAAAATATTTGACACGGCGATGACTCAAGATATTCGAATTTCAAAATTCAAAATAAAAAGGCAATCATCACTTTCGATAAGTGGGGAAATTTAATCGGTTGAATCATACAACATCAGTGGTACCCATAAAAATCGTTGATACACTAGATTTTTTTTGTAGAATTTCAAAATTTATGGTCAAGTGATTAAGCGCTTTCTTCTTTTTTATCATGATTATGCTTGTTTTAGATGCAGTGGGTCTCTAATTCAAATTATAACTCACCTATTGAGAATAATTTAGAAGGTCGCATCTAGACCTGGCACCGTGCTAGGCACAACCTAGTTCGCATTTCTGTATGGTTCTTGAAATGTGAATGCTGAAATAAAGTCTGTTAAAATGGGTCATGAGGGGTTATTTACATGACCCATGTTTAACACCCGTTCACCGGCCAGTTGGAGGTTGTCAGTCACTGCCGATTGCCGTCGGTCGTCGCTGGTCATTGGTCGTCGCCGCCATCCGCCGGTCGTCGCTGGTTGCCAGATGCAGCCGTCCACCGCCTGTTGCCGATCGCCGGACATCGCCGTCCCCCTCGATCATCGCCGGTCACCACCGATTGCTGGTCGTCGCTAGTCACTGCCGGTCGTCGTAGGTCGCCGATCATCTCTAGTCACTTCAGATCGCCGTCGTCTATCGTTGGTGAATCAGGAACCATATTGCATTAAACCAAAATTTAGGTATAATTCGTACTATTATCCCTGTCCTATTGGATGTGCAAATTATGTAGATCTATGGAGATTAACCAGGTCAAAAGGATCTCGTGAATCAGGAAGCTGGTGAGCCGTGCTTTCATTTTTCCTAGAAATAGACCATTAATTTCAAGTGTGTCTACTTATAATAAGCAAATGACGTCACAACTCACGCTCCTCATTTTCTCTATCGCATCGCTTCGCCACGCCGTTGTCGCGTCACGTCCCCAATGACTCCCTGCCCTCACTAAACGTCGTCCTGATCTGCGGGGATCGTTCCCGTGGTGGCGCATTGCCCATGTTCTTTCAATAGCGCGTGCGTACTCCTTCCCAGTACCCCACCCTCGTATCGTATGGACCCGCCTTTTGGGATTTTTAGCCACTTCACGAGCTTTCTCGGACCGAGCAAGGAATGCTAGCCGGTTATTACAAGTTTGACATGATGACCGTGTGTCTTAGGTCTTGGCCTCAGATGCCTCGTCAAATTCGGGTGAACCCTCCTCCCACTTTCTCCACCTCCTTCCGAAATGTATTGGTTAGTTTTCATCCCGTAGCATCGGGTTTGACAAATCGCTGGCCTAATCTTATATTCCCTTAATGTATATCACTGAAATCGATCGACGAGTTCCATTGAGAAAGTGAAGTACGTCCGCACATATCACGCATTCGTCTAAACAGTTTAAGTTTTCAGTACGGATAATGGTCGATTTAAAAAGTGTTACATAGTAATGATATTAGAGCCGAAAGTCCTAATTTTGAAATTTAAATCTTTCCGGATCCCGTATTTGCCACCCTCCCTCGTGATATTTTCACGGTTAGTTTTAGATCAAGTACGTCGAAGAAGAGTATTAAAATACTTCGTCGCCAACTCCAACATCGCAAGCGAAAGCGTCTAGAAAAGTCAAAGCAACTACAGCCTTCGCTCACCTGTGACGATTTTCCAGTTTCCGACTTCACCCTGACGCGCGCCCTCACGCGCTGTACCCTCTCTCTCCCTTTGGCGGCGGCGGACGTTCCCATGTTTTGCCCCTTCATGTTCACGCGACCTCCCTGCTTTACTCCCCAAGAAAACTCGAGGGCTTTTCGCCACTTCAGTTAGCGTAAGCACATAGGTCACCCGCTCCTTCTATATATAAGACCCGCGCACTCCACAGCACACTCTCATACTTAACCCAGTCATCCCCAACTCAGCAGCAAAAGAAGAAACCAGAAAGAAAAGCGAGACACCTCGATTTCACATTCTCTTAACTACAGCAGACATGGTGAAGAGAGACAGAGAGGACGCCGAGGTCGAAGCCCTGGCCATGGCCAACTGCTTGATGCTCCTCTCCCGAGTCGGCGACAGCGCCGGCTCGCCGCCTTGGCCGGCTAACCGCGGGTCGCGGCCCGGGGAGCGGATGTTCGCGTGCAAGACGTGCAACCGGGAGTTCTCGTCCTTCCAGGCGCTGGGAGGGCACAGGGCCAGTCACAAGAAGCCGAAGGTGATCTCCGGCGACCTCTTCCACCTCGGCCGCGTGGGGGGCTCCTCGCCGGCCAAGCCGAAGACGCACGCGTGCTTGATATGCGGCCTCGAGTTCCCGATCGGCCAAGCCCTCGGCGGCCACATGAGGAGGCACAGGGCCGCCATGGCCGAGAGCTTGGCGGCGGTCGCGGCCGCAACAAAGCCTGTGCCGGTGTTGAAGAAATCGAACAGCAAGAGGGTCATGTGCTTGGATTTGAACTCGTCGCTGACCGAGGACAACTTGACCTTGCGTTTAGGAAAGGTCGCGCCGTCGTTGGTGCTGGATCTCGTTTTGTAGGGGCATAGAGAACGTAGATTGTGTACAAAGCAGTTTCCAGTTGGCGCAGACAGTTTTCTTTTCTTTCTTCGAATTCAATGATTCATGTTTCGAATCAGAGTCGCTATATTCATTTGTTACATGAACACATGATATGTTTGAACTTTTCCTTATTGGCCTCTTTGTTTGATCCGAAGATGATTAACAGCTGAAGTGTGTGCTCGATGTGATGACAATGGCAATTCAGAACTGAACGTTAGCGATGCAACTGCATAAGAGCGCTTCTTCGGAGTTGCCGAAGGCGAGATTTTTTTTTCTATTCACGTTCATATACTGCTTAAGGAAATGGACATGGCACTGAGGATAAAAGCGACCATTGGTCCTATTTCCGTTTTCCTCTTATTGAGCTGTTAGATACGCGCCTTATGTCCATGAAAGGAAAAAAAATTCGCGGTACCACCGTTGCTGATTTTCTCCAGCCACCCCCCTTCCCCCCCTTCATCTGTCTTTTCTTTTGCTGTACGCCCGGCTGTCCTCTTTATGTTCCCCCCTTTGGCTGCATTCCTTCGCCAACGGGTCTCGGTTCGGGGATGCTCCGAGGTCGACAGCCATCGGCGTGATTCGAGGTCTATGACATGCAATCTGCTACAATTTTGAGATCGGAGAGAGAATTCTCATCGGCGCTGACAAGGGCTCATACTCATCCTCAAGTCCTCGTCAATTGCAGCCGCGATGAAGCACGAAGAGAGTCGTCGTAGAAGTTGGCAAGGGCTCATCCTCAAGTCCTTGTCAATTGTGGTGGCGGTGAAACACACATCGTAGAAGGAGAAATTTGCCGGTGGTACGGGCGAGGAAGATGTTTAGGATGGTAGTAATTCCACGAACATGGAGTCATGCAGAACTGCAACACGGATTCACACTCCGTGCAAAGTGGTAGATGGGAATCAGGGCCCTCTCTTCCTTGAAATCGGTACACAAAAGTTGATTTATAAAATTTGTCGAATTCTTACCGAGCCACTTACTGATGACTAATCTTCATATCGCTTTAGAAATCGACTTTTTGGGTAAACAGAGGATTGCATCCACCGACTGATCAGAAGCACAAACTACCATGGGCCTATGCAGTAATGGGCCTATTCTTATCAGCTAAGAACACAGTTTTAACATCGTGTCGGGTGTGTATGATCGAAAAAATGAACTCCCTGAGGTCCTTCAATCCCCCATCTTAGCCGGCTTATCCGCTCACTGATTGCCGTTGAAGTTACTGAATTATCATATTACATTCTATTTTCTCCTTAAACTATTGTATTCCGGTCCTTTCTCTTTGGCGGTCTTTTGTTGAGAATGGTGAGAGTCATCATAATGTCTAGATATAACCTAGATTTAGATAAATATTTATCCAAATGAGAATTTGAAATACATGCACGGCCTCAGTCGACTCATCTCTCTCTCGTGATCGGTGGTGAAGGAAGATGAGACACCACAGACCATCATCATCTTCATCCTCCAGAAATGGCAAGAGACTAACAATTCCACAGGTGTGCACAGCTACATTTCTCTATGTTCGCGTTTTGATTGCTCAATCTTCCTTCTTCGCAGGTTGCTTTGTGGAACAATACTCTGAAATCAATACCTGAGTTTGTTTCCTCTCTGAAATTCTTCTCTGAAACAGAGTTAAACATATTACCCATCTGCGCATGGCCGAGTTGGTGGGCGCTTTCCTTCCCTCAGAAAGGTTCTGGGTTCGAATCCCCGCTCGGTTTCGTAATTTAAGTGGGGGGCCCTGGCGGTGGGTTGCTGGGCTAGTCTCCCCCGAGGTATAGGCGCCCCGATTACCTGTGCGGGCTCGTCCCCGGGAAATGGTGGCGGATCCTCGGTTACAAAAAAAAAAAACATATTACACACCTAAAATTGAAAATCAAAGGAAAAATATAAAACTCAAGAACTTGTTGACGAGATGTAGACCCAAAAAGTCCTGGCAAGCAAAACCGAATTTCGATTTCGATGACCATTATCACCAAATTAAATGGGTTGTAGAGACGAACTCCCCTTGGCGAGCCATCGATTTAACCCATTACCATCATCCTTTTATCTAGATTGAAGCAAAAGCAAAGCATGATTGAAAACAAGAGCAATGTTCATCGAAACTCTCGATGACGACGGGTGCTGAAAATTTTCGCAGAGAGAGCGCTGAAAATTTTCATAAAGAGGATGTGGCCTTCTGCTAGGAAAAAAGTAAACAAAAACTTGTTGGAAGAAATCAAGCTAGAAGTCGACTGAGAGGTGTAAACCTGGCAGTAGAGGTGAGCGGTTTCAAGTTCCGTACAAGTTCCACCTGGAACTTATCCTTTGGAATAGGTTCCTCATTTTTTAGAACTTTGAACCTACCCTGCATACTTTGGAACTTGAAACCTATCCTATCACAGGTTTCAATGTCGGTTCCAGGGTCTACTTAGGTTCCACCTGTATTATTAATTGAACGATTACAGTAAATTATTATCTTTAATGACCACTACTTGCTGCTACAATCCACTGATCATAACTTATATTTAGACATACGAAGAATATGAAACATTAACAAAGTAAAAATGTTAATCATAAAATGGAAGCTCAGACTAGTAATTCCATATTATAAACTCATTATCAAACACCATAGAATCCTACAGGATTACACAAAGACATAGACAAAAAAAAACACACAAAATTGTTCCAAGTTTTAGACTAGAACTTGGAACCTGCCTATTGAAACCCATTCCCCACGTTTTGGAACTTGGAATCTACCATGCATACTTTGGAACCTAGAACTGGACAGATTCCCATCAGTCTGGTTCTCCAGTTTCCTGACCGGTTCCAGGTTCCAGGTTCTACTCTGGAACCAGGCTCATCCTAACCTGGCGGGGATCATGTCGGACGGTGAACAACGAAGCGAGTCCATGGGATTTTTCTCCTGTTTTCTGTTTTTTTTTCTCGATTTTTCGTATTAGATATCTTATCCGGCTTTATCCCACTCCCTAGGTGGTATTTTTTTATTCGGATTATATTCGAACATATCCAAATCCAGTTTTCTCTCAAACACTGGATAGAATAAAAATTATCATATCCAGAGTTATATCCAGTTCACCAAATGTAGCCTTGGTGTCTATCCTAAAGATTGGGTAACTTTTCGTCCTCGAGAGAATTTGTTGATGATTTTCATGTGTTTATTATATCTTTGGGGGCAAATTTGTCGCGTGCGCTTATTGGAAAAGCACCCGAAGTTAAAAATACTTTCTCAAGCAATAGAGGAAATCGAGCTGTCCTTAACTGGTCTGCAACTTTGTCTTTGTTTATAGCCGGAGCATTGTGTACCCACTTGCTCATGATCATGACAACACACATTTTCTACTGTGCAGATTCCATTATTTAATTTCCACACCAATGAACGCATCAAATTCCTAACATAATTAACTTTATTTTCCTTGGAGGTATACTAGATTGGACAACAAATCACTAGACGAGTTAGTTTTACAGCACCAACATGAAACTGAAATCATCACTAGTGGGATTTAACTGTATAATGGCAAGATTGAGTTGACAGCGAAAGAATGACTAACTCATGAAATCAACGAATGACAAGCATTGCTTTTCTATTGAGCGAAATTACACAGCCACTTCCTTACTTAATAGATCAAGTGAATTTTTTACTCAATTGAATCTTTTAAGGCAACACTAATAAGGTTATCAAACAAAATCAAAACAATTAATTGAACAATTTTTAATTTGCAGCACTTATTGAGATTATCAAACATGTCCTAATTTAAAGAGGAGAGGAAGAGAGTTTGATATCCAACTTTTTTTCTATATTGTTTTGGCATACGATGCTCAATGTACCTCATGTTTGTTTCGAAGGTTTTCTTCTTTGACAACAAAGTAAAATGCACGAGGGGCATGGAAACTATTTCTGATTTTGAGTACAATAAATATGCATGTGGTGGTTACGATCCTTGAGTAGAAGACGTGCAATCTGTGAGGATCATTGAGAAGAGAATGGTGCTGAAAGAAGACGTGTCTCTTCGTTCATAATCGACTTCCAAACATGCTAACGCGTGCGACGTACGGTCTGCAAATCCTGTAGTTGTTGCTCAAGATCTTCTTGTGACAACTTCGAACCCTTAACTCTCAAAGTCTCATCACCACTCACCAACAGCAGCTGATGTTTCTGATAATCTGACGAACATTAAACTCCATTTGATTAAGAGAGGTCACCGATCAGTGCAGATACATGATTACGTTTGATCCAAAAGTTTAAATTTTATGTGAAATGAGACAACATAACAAAATTCACATAAATCCATAGACAAGCCCTATGAGAAACTTTACCACCCCATTTTACATTCAAATCGGACTGAGAACGGCCTGTCGAATTGATGAGCAGGGAGCTTCACACGCGAAATAGATGTGGAGTGAAAACTGATCCTGACGTCACGTAAGATAAACCAACCAGAAGCTTTAACCAATCGATCGAGGAAGACAACACGAATAAAAGACCTATATAAACCCTATAGTTTGGGTAGAAGATAAAGTCGCAAAATCGGAGACAGCCACATCTGGCTAATAAATAATATAATAACAAGCACATGCAAAAGAGAATGGATCAAGCAAAGATAATGCTCCGAGTATATGCCTAGAAGATACTCTCTCCACTATCGTTAAATCCCTTCTCCTTTCTCCCCCCGGTCTCTCTCTCTCTCTCGCTCTCTCTCTTTACTTTTTCGTGGCATCAGGGTTTGGTGATAGAAGCTGTGCATCTGCAACTGCAATGGAGTCCTCCGGCAGTCGGGCTGGCGATGAAGGAGGTGGTGACGACCGGATAAATCCCGGCCGTTGACCCTTTGTCGGCTCTAAATAGGTTGGGCAACCATGGACCCTTTGGCAGTGCGTACTTGAGGAGCACGTAAGCTCAAGCACACCATCATACGAGTATTTGAACTTCAGGACTATCTACGTTTCGTAGGACCACAATTCTCTTTTCACAATCTTGTACCTGTTCGTCTTAATTCCAGTCGTTTTTTGTCTTTGTTTCGGCGACGCTTCCAATTCTTCGGATCAGTACAAAATGTTCAGAGCCATCCATTGAGCATGTTTGCTCGGTCTCGATCACAGACTCGACGGCCAGACTGGTCCGCATAGCAAACTTTAGATCTGAATGTAATAATTTCGTTTCTATGAGATACAAGTTGTTCTTGGCAAGGTCCACTTGTCGCACACAAGGGACTGTTCTTCATTTCTATGTGCTTTCACATCAATTGCTCGTAAAATCCAAGTTCAGAGCATGAGCCAACAGGGGATCAGCTCGCTGCTCAAAGATTGAGCATTCTCATTTCGAAGCCAATTTCCTTCCTTGCAGACAGCACTCGGAATGGTTGGATCTTATTTAAGGGTGGAACGTGCCAAGTGCCTCCAAAATGATTGTATGATAATTACTGGATCTGCTGAAATGATGAGACGGGCCTTTGGCCAATGAGGTCGTATTGACAATAGCCCCATGGTTGTCCTCTGCAATTAGAAGGAACAGCGCCAAAACCCCAGCGGAAAAACCATAATTCGGGAATCATCATTGCAAAAAAAAAAAAAAACACACTGGGAAAATGGCTATGCCAAATAATGCATGTGTTTGTCTATTAGGCTACAAACTGGACCGTCAAACGGGTGGGTTTTGGAGTTGTTCCTTGGGTAAAAAACATGCAAATCTATGAGATGGTGCTGAATGGTCGAGATAAATTAATACCCTAAACTGAGGTAAGAACATGAGATCGTATGAGGGCGAAAGAAAATAAAGAGAGAATCATGGAGGTAGATTGGATTTAAATAAGTTGTAATCCCATTTATGACTCATTTATTGAATATAAGTAACCCACATAATAACTTAACCCATCATATATATAAGTTAAGAAATGGATTTATGATCTATTTTGGCAAGTCTACTACTATGGCTCATAATAAGCTCACTTGCTATGAGTTTAAAGCTACATATGGACCATGCAATAGGCCGCAAATGTTAGAGAGAAAGAGAGAGAGATATCGGCACGATAACTACATACACGTTTGACCAAACATTCTGCAGTTCCATATGTGATGTGAAACTCCAGGTTTATATCAAGCGTATGAGTGTATGATCTCAAGATGACTCCATGAGGGCCAATGCAGAACAAATCATACAATAAGGGCTGAAAGAATAAGCATCGAGGCTTTGCCTTGATCATACATTAAGGGCGCTGATGATTTTAGTTTCGAAGAATTCCATATATTCTGCAATATCGCAATGAAAACTCTTTCACTAAGTATACGCCGATCTTTTATTGGGTCGAAGAAACAAGCGGGATCTATGAATTGAATGCTTTAACTTCTTTAAGCAAACATTAAGCATCTTACTTAGCACAAGAATTTTCAGTAACCTTCCTTTAATGAGAATTCAACAAGTGCGTCCCACAAGATCAAGGCAAGCATATTCTCCGTAGTAAAGAAGCTATGGCGAAAGAACAACGGCTGAGTTGATTTCTTGAGAAGCGAAAAGAAAAAAAAACAAAAGGAAATGGAAGTGGCGTCGCCCGGACTCGAACCGGAGACCTTCAGTGTGTTAGACTGACGTGATAACCAACTACACCACGACACCTTTCTGGCACATCGTCGACATCTCATTTTACTAAAATCTTTTCAGTTGACTTCGGTCGTCCTATAAAAATCGTTTTCCTGCCCTCCTCCTCCGAGTAAAGCTCAGCCACTTCCTCCTCCTCTCTCTCTCTCTCTCTGTCCGTCAACCTAGGGTTTCCATCTCCAATCCGAATCCGAGAAACCATGTCCAGCGCCCTCGACATGTCTCTTGACGACATCATCAAGAGCAACAAGAAGTCCGGATCCGGCAACCCCAGGGGCCGCGGCCGCGGCGCCGGCGCCGGCTCCGGCTCCGGGCCCGGCCCCACCCGCCGCCCCCGAACCGCGCCGCCGCCCGCCCCAACCCTTACGCCGCCGCGAAGGTCAGCTCACGGGTCCCCCCCCGATCCCGCTCCCAACTACTACTGTTGTTTTTAGAGCTCGCGATTTCTGTGCGACGGCGAATCGATTCGCTCGATTCGGTTCCCTGTCGAAGCTTGGATCTTTCGATGCGTCGTTTGAGATTCTGAGGGCGTGTTTTGGTTGTTTTCTCTCCCCGGGGAAAAAAAATCTGGGGGTCCAGGCGCCGGAGACGACGTGGCAGCACGATATGTTCGCCGATCAGGGCCTAGCGTTCCAGGGGCAAGCCGGTCGAGCCTCCGCCATAGAGACCGGGACGAAGCTCTATATATCGAACCTGGATTATGGCGTCTCGAACGAAGATGTCAAGGTAACGGAGTTCGATTTTCTGTTTTCCTGCTACTCTGAGCCGAAACCGTTTTGTTATCTCGTCGTTTATGGCTGTTCTCGGTCGAGGTTGTCGCAAATCTGGGAAATTGTGACGTTTGCTGGTTGAAATTGTGTGGATCTACTGTTACGGTGGAGTGTCAGAGTCTTTTCGCCCTAATTTTGACGCTTCGTGCTTGGATTTTGGTACGAGCGACGTGTAGTTTATCGTCTGGCTCTAGTTAATTGAAGTATATTGCCGTTGTTTATTGATTTAAACCAAGGTTAGTATGCTCCATTGCTAAAAAAGTATGATTTAATCTGTGTAGTTGATATTATGTGTCGGTCCATGTATTTTGTTCGCTGTCTCATGGGAAGAATGTTCTTGTTGTGGCTTGCTGTTGTGTTATTATTACATTCATTTCAGCTGGTCAGTTTAACTTTTGGTGTTTACCTGAGAGCTCAAAAAAAATTCAACCCAAATTAGCAATCTAATTCTTATTTTCCTTTCTTGCTCGCATGCTTTTCTCCTACGGAACATTTTTAAAAGTTTGAGGTGTTATGTGTCCATGTCCGTGTCTAGCTTCTAGTGCCTAGCAGTTATGAAATTTGCATTTTAGTCTGTGTGAGACAATCTGTTTCTCTTCTCTGTCATTTTCCTTATTATATCATACAGCTTAAAGTGCAGTTAAGTCATTTATGTGCTCTTCGGTGAGCAATGGGAATTTTGCGGTAAATGTTAATTATTTTCCTTTTCTGTTGGGATTTTCTCGTGCAGGAACTATTTTCTGAGGTCGGTGACCTGAAACGTCATACGATACATTACGATAGGAGTGGAAGATCCAAGGTATTGTTATAAAGCTATTGCCTGACTGTTGCTGTGATAAAAAATTATTTCTCCCAGTTTATTCTCAGCAAGCCTTTAACTCCTTCAGGGTACGGCAGAAGTGGTCTTTTCACGCCGTACGGATGCCTTGGCAGCTGTTAAGAGATACAACAATGTTCAGCTTGATGGGAAGCCAATGAAAATAGAGATTGTAGGAACAAACATCGCAACTCCTGCTGCTACTCCTGTCGTTTCAAATGGTTCTTTTGGAAACCTGAATGGATTTCCAAGAGGGTATGTGCTATAATATTTTGACTTGCCCTTTGAACAGATAATTTTTCCGTGTTTTCTAAGCCAAGGGCAGGTAGAACAATTCTCAGGTTGTCATACTTCATATCATCCTATGAAGCTTGCATGAGATATAAAGAGATAGCAAAATTCTCAAATATACTCAAATCCTTGGACTTAGATGTATCACGAATGTGTAAACATAAAACTTATGTCTTTTGTGCCCATCAGTAGGTTTTTCGGTTGCTTCTACACTTGATATATTTGCCATTTGGATTTGTTCATTTATAATTTTTTTCCATAAACCGGCAAAATTGATTTAACTTTTGTTTGATCCATTTAAATGTTTCTTACACGAAAGTGAGATTTGATTACTTCAGTATGCTAGAATGCTAATTGTATACATCTATACTATCCTTTTAAGAAGGGATTTTCTTTTGGTCTCTGATTAAATTTTCAAAAAAGCTTGACTATCGTTCTTATCGATTCCAAGGCTGAAATTTTTAACACGTTGGTAGCAAGAAAATACTCGGTTACTTTTCAAACTCAAAGCAAAACTACCCAAGAATTAAAAAATTAAAAAGTGCCAAGGTATACTTTAAAAAACATCAGTTCTAGCTTCTTTTTATTGCACTGTCTTTTACTTGTACGTTAATTATATAATTTCAATAAGTGTCCGCTAGTCAAAACCAATAGTGGATGCATTTATTTCCGGATGAAATGTTCTTACAAGAGAAAGTCTTAGATGAACGTTCATTATTCATTCAGTGTGAAGCTTCTCTTCAGTAATACGGAAAACAAAGATAATCAATCTCACCCATAGCCATCTGAATGTTGTTTTTATATAAGTTTTGCTTTATCTTTCAGAGATTGGAAAAACAATTTATTTGACTGTAACTGAACGCACCTTGGAAAAATAGAAAATCATTTTCTCAATATTCATTAGCTGGACTGAATTGACGAGTCTTATTGTGCCCCTTGAAAGTTCCTTTTCTAGAAGGCAATTGATAATAAATCTGAGCTAGCAAACCCAGATGTTTCTGAGATTCAGAAAATTTGTAGAGAGCATAGACTTGTTCTTCTTGACCTTTGAGAGATGATGAAGAGCGGATTTTCTATTTGATTGAATGAATATCTGCTGTTCTTAATTATTTTTATTTGAGGAATGGACTAGTTTTCTTTTCCTTGCACTTTAAATTTTTCGTTCTTTTCATGCTTTTTGAAGATTGATGATTAGTCATGGAATCGGGGAAAAAAGGTTAATCACAAGGTTTGAATGGTTCTAAAACTATATTCTTCTTCTTCTTACTCCTCCCCCTTCTTCTCCTCTCCATTATTGAACTTCTTTGGATTCAATTTTTATTTTATGTATTTTTTCCAATATTAGCGAATTTTTTGGTTGTACATCTAGAAACAAATTCTTGTAATACTTTGACCTTTTAGAATTTTTTTTATTCTATTCTCATTTGAATATTTTTTTCCATGTTCTTGGTGATGGTTAATATCGATATTTAAGGTAGTTTCTCTCTCTTGGGTCAGTGTGGGATGCTAGGAATTTGGCTTGCCACAAAGTACTTCCTAATTTCAGGTCTTCTGATGTGTTTGTGTGACTGATGATTCTTGGTGATACTGATTCAATTTCCTTGATATCATCACTTTTGCATGAATAATGTAAAGTATGGATTGCATGTTATACTGGCGGCATGTTGTTGGAAGTCCTCTGTAACATTACAGCGCATTTGGTTCTTGTTTGCAACCTATGCACTTGTGAATGCTTATTGAACTTGCCCGTGCCTATAAGTTGTAACAAGTCAGAAATTTGTCTACTGTTGCTCATCAATCATGTTGCTGATACATTGTTCTTCATAATGTATGTAATCAGTGGACAAGCTAGGGGAGGTGCTATTGGACGACCACGTGGTGGCGCCAGCGGTGGTGGCCGTAGACCTGCTGCAAGGGGTCGTGGACGGGGAAGAGGTCGTGGCGAGAAAGTATCAGCTGAAGATCTTGACGCCGATTTAGAGAAGTACCATTCGGAAGCGATGGAGACAAATTGAGCGCCGTTCTACTTATCCGGTGTCTTTTCTGTTCTCAGTGATATGTCTGTGATGATGCGACCACTTTGCCTATTAAGTGTGTCTAGAGGAGGATAAAGTGAATTCTTGAACCTTGGTTTATGGAGTTTGGGATTTTATTCTGTGACTTGGAGACATAAGTTATGAGGGTTAATGGACAGCTTCAGTATGTAATCTGCAATTATTCCTTTTGGTTCCTTCAGCTTCTTTAGTGTGACCAATGCCGTTCTCCCTATGCAACATTCGTATGTCGCTCTTGCCCAAGCATATGGAAAGGAGCTTGCTGTGAGATGTGGAGTTAGTAAGCTTGCATGAAAATCAACCGCAGCTGCCGTCTTTCTTAGCTACTGCATCACATTAAGAGCTGGACATTAAAGGTAGGTTTCACTGTGACTTTGTTTTTTACCCCGCTCTAGGTGTCTAGAATTTTAGGATCAGAAATGTTGTCCTCCTTATTTTTTTATATGCCTTTCTGGGAGAAATTTGTTGCGGTAATCTTTTCTGTATTAAAGATTGGGCTCTTGGATTTGGTTGACTGTTATTATACTGAATCTGTGGGTGCTTGTTTCAAGTTGGAATTGTCAATTATTAGTTGTCTTAACTATCATCCATTAGCACCAGGCAGCTTAGTGACTCGAGGATACGGCTGTATATTGTAATATTTGTTTTTGTAGTTTGTGAAAGTTGATTGATGACTGATTTTCAGAAGTTGCTAAAGGTTTCATTTTGCTGAGGTGCATAGTGTCTCCATTTGAGGATCTTTAATGGTTTTACCTTGTGTCCTATGTCGAAGTTATGTCATGGTTATCTGGCTTGCACTTCTCTCTGAGGATAGTGACTTGTAACTTATGGTAGCTTGCTCTCTGTCTTCTTCCAAGTATTGCCAAATCTAGTTGGTGAAATAGAGTGAGTTGGTCTTCTCGTGTTGGCATTAAAGGCATGGAGCTAAAAGGTTTTTCCCTTCATGAGGCAGGAGATTGTTCATGTGTTCTCTCCGTTGACCTGGTGTTGAATGGTCACCTGATAGTTCTCCAGTACTGGACGAACTTAATTGCCGTATGATCCGAAATGAGCAGATAAGTTTCTAACATGGCTGCGTGGAAGGGTCCTGGTCATCTATAGCCTGAACTTTGACCAGGGGCTTCGGATTTTCTGGTGGACGAGTCGTTTTCCAGTGTTGACCCATTGATCTTGAGGTACAAGGGAATTTCCCGTGGTTCCTACGCACCTTGAGACTGGTAAACGCCGATGGTGTTTTGACATCATTCGGGAATGTGCTGGTATGTTTCTAGCATCTTTTTCTCGTCCAACAGACCTTGCTGCGAAGCTGGATGTTTTAAAGCTTCCGTGTAAGTCTTCTTGCAGTTCTCTTGACGACAACTTGCTGCAGGAATAATGCCTAAGCTGGATCTATGTCCAACGGTTCTATGCGCACATTGTTTTTTCTCGTCCTCTCATCTTCCCCTTGTATGACGATGTAAATATGCCTTTCCCTCACTAGGTCGAGGTTTGATTAGCGTTGCTGTTTGGGTAGGTGAAAAAAAGGGGAAAAAGAGAGAACAAACTCAATAGAAATTATCTGGGAATTTCCAGGGTATCTAGCTTTCGTTTGGTAGTATCTACTGTTGATATTGTGTTACTTGATTCTCGTGCATTGCTTGGGCACGAACCGAAGGCGGCAGGGCGTGGAAGTTGCATATCATGCGTAGTGTCAGAATGGGTAAACTGGGTAAGGTTGTGATGCTGGCGAGTTGGGGCATGCTTTGATTACGTGTTTGTCACGCGCAAGGCATCGTGTGTCCATAGTGTTTCATAAGATTTCGACTTTTATTGGCTGGTTTTTTATAGCCTTATCTCCAATTTCTCTGCTCGCGGGTTTGTCATCCCATTGTTCCATCAAACTGAAGTCCCCTCCCACACGACTCTCCTTGAAACTCCCATTGTATCGTTACACCAACCTCGTCAAAAATCCACTACGATTAATTTTTTTTTATTGGATGAGACCTCTCTTCAATTAAATGAGTGAGGGTAAGGATGCAGAGGTGAAAACATGGACCTCGGTGCCGACGTTGACATCCTTAAGTTGACTGGAGAGAACGGGAGAGTAGGTGGGAGTTGAAGGCTACGTCTGAAAGCACGAACGCACATGAGGAATGTTCCTGACTGGATGTACCGTTGACTCTGCTGCCACACGGGAGGCGGCAGCTTCAACTCTGTTGCCGGTACGAAGACTGGTTACTGCTGTTAGTTGTATAAGCGGCTGCCCCTTCACTCCTATTTGAACCATTGCTAGTCTGCAGCATTGACGCTACCGCCCGTATGCAGACTAACATTACCAGGAATTATGGAGGTAAACAGTGAGATGCATAGCGGTCTTTCTTGGTACTCGCGGATTGGAGACGACAGATTTTGTACACTACACGGTAGCTGAGATTAGTTGACACATAAAAATAACTGTTGTAAATTGTCCAATGGAAGGGAGTTTAACGATTCTAACATCGTAGCGGGTACGCCAATCGCCCATATTTAAAAGCGTTTTAGCATCTTTTTTACACAAAACATCAGGCTCATAGAATACCCTTGGGCTGCTAAGGCGGGCTCAATAGGCGGGCAGCCCATGATCAGCTGTCCTCATCTCTTAATTAGCCCGTCCTCTCTTTTTCTCCGGCTGGCTCGGGGCACAACAGATAAACGGAACCTTTTTGGTGCATGACATGCTCCATATTCAAACGATTCTATCTCAGCGTTTCTTCAAATTACAACCGAATAAAAAAGGGGGAAAAAGCAGCAGCTCCAGCACCTTGCTCATTCCTCCAGAAACGAAACATATACATCTACCAGTTAAAATACACATTTTATGAAGCAACTATGCCATCAGGCCCTCTTGCCTTCTGAGCATCAGCAGGAAGAGCTCCTGTGCTCTTTGGCCTCCCACCTATGTCGAGCAGGAAGCCGAGAGACATTGGAAATGGAAGCACCATTTGTGTTAAGAGTATGTTCAGAAGACATGGCTTGGGGTAAATGATTGGGCGATTACATGAATGGAGCAAATTGACACTCATGATAATGGACACTCACACCGACTCATTCAGCTGGAGAGGTTACAGAAGGAAAAGGTCAGCAAATGCACAACACTATGATATGGAGAAGATGATCTCTTCAACCTTTTCAAAATAAACCTAATGCACAATTTAAGCCATCTTTGGCCTCTTCATCCTTTCCCAGCTAGAAAATACAAACCCCATGAGAGCATACAGAAGCACCTTAATGCACGAGACTACAAAGTGCCAACACGAAGACGGCCAGTACCATGGATATAGCAACCGGAAAAATAGACTTATGAGATGTCGAGGGTACTGCCCCACCTGTGAAATGATATCGTGGCAAATGTTATAACACATCTATAACAAAACTCAGAGGGAGAACCTGAAGTTCTGTCTTCCCCGTCTGCATACAGTTATTTATGCAATCAAATATCTTGTCAAATTGTTACTCTTAAATTACAAGAACAACTTAAAGTGACTACGCCATCTGAAGATTGGCCGTGTACTAAAATTTTTTAAAAGCGAAGACTGAGAAAGCAGATTTTGAGAAAAAAACTTATTGCTACTCTGGGTATTTGAAATTGCCTAATACAGGTTTCCGGTAAGACGAATATTAGCTTAAGTTTTGAGCATTTGCTTTTAGTAGTCCCAGAGGAATCCAACTATATAAAAAATACATGTTTTGGAAAAACTAGTTCTTTTTTTTTTTTGATCGAAACAAAACTAATTCTATAAATGGAGCTTCTTATTGGATAAACTAAAATGCTTACTGGAAAAAGCAGATCTAGCGCATCCCAAGCGGCATGGCGAACAGCTCTTGTGGGATACATTGGACCTCCAGGAGAGGTGAAGCTATACAAACAAGCTTTCAACCTTGTACTAGTAGCCATTCGCAGTTCCATGCCTGCATAAACTAAACTATACGACATCGGTAAACCAACCAAAAGTAACAATACATAGGATTAGTAGTGAAAGCAGCATTACCCTGAAGATACTTGAGTTGCGATAGATAATGGATAAGCACAGGCTCCACCTTCAATTTCTGGAGCTGATCAAAATAGAAACATTTTAATCCTATGGAAAAGCAATACAGGCTAGACAATTTTCGTCTTAGGTTACAATGCAAAATTATACCTGGTCTGAAAGTTCAATGACAAATATATCTGCCGGACCACCAACCAGGAAAGCATTTGAGAAAGGAGGGCAATTCTTCAAGAAGCTTTCGAGTTTATCAGCTGCATGGACAACATATGGAGAATAACTACACAAACGAACAGTTTATAAGCTACTGCATCATAATTATAAGAATCAGATTCACTAAAAAGCAAGCCTACCTGAGTTGTAGAAGAACATGAATCTTGAAAGTAACAGATACAGATCTCGCTGGGCCTGAAATAACACAAAGAGGCTTCCTTATTAAAATCAAGCCTTGGTGGAGTAAACGAAACCTATCGTGAGAACACTACTTTAATGTCACTGTGAAGTATTGTCAAATAACATACAAAGTATTCATGCAGTGGTTCCTCACCTGCGCAGGAATTTTATTGAGCCGTGTTGGTTCCAATACAATTTCTTCAAGTAGATACTGCACATCCAACCATAAAAGACGACCATCAAATCGTTGCCAATATAAACACCAGCTTTAAACTGAACTTAAATGGATTACACTGGTTGAATGAGACACATTACTAAGGATATTGATTCTTACACAAAAGAGGGTCTGAAACCGCCTGGTATTCGTCTGGATGTCAATCCTGTGGTAAGGCCAATACCATCAGCAAGACAAAGCCTTGTGTTTCTTAATCTAATTAGTAGGTCTCCTACCACCCACCACCAAAAGTTTACAGATATTGCCAGTAGCTGAAATTAAGTAAACTTAGACTTGCTATCATGCCGTTGCAACTCTCTTTCTCTCTCATGGGTACAGATATACACTGTGCTTCAGTATCCAAATACAAATCTCCTACTAGGCACCGATTCACAGACAAATGGCAAATCTTGAAAGATAGCCCATTAAAAACATTGAAAGAACTCATCAAAAGGATGTAGCAATTCAAAGCTAAAAAATGGTTTTAATGATTTTTTTTTTTGCTATCCATGTAAAAACAAACAACTAAGGTTATAAACTACGCAAACTAAAACTTGCAAGAAAATCAAGAACAATTGCCACTTTGTTTTCTGTCATTCTGAATTGACAGTTCAATCTATGATTTACAATTACAGTGGCACCCCTTCTATGTAAAAGGCTAAACCCAATAACCACTCAATACCAACTGGCAAGTAATTGCTGTTTTTCATACCAGAAAACATTTGTAGCACCTTGAACAAGAGCTGATGAGTAACGCAGTAGCACCTCCGGATTCTCGACTTGAACTTCAAAAAGCTACATAAATTAAGGTAAAATTACACTTCAAAAAGATCTTTAACAAGATTAGGCATTAGATAATTCAATAAATTCAATACATGTCATATACTTGAGGACACTCTCAGAAAAACTCATGGACATTGCTTCAAGAACTAATTTAAAAAAATATAGAGAATGCGTTCCTGTGAACTACTTAGCCTAGGTTATTCTCAATATGGCATCATCTTTAGCCTTGCTTTTATCAGGAACCAGAAAAACATCTGAGCATCTGAGTGAGTAGCGGAAAAGCTGAAAATAAATAAGCATGAAACTGCGTAAAATTGAAAGGGTGGCATATTTTTCTTAAGATCCTCTTGTCAATGAAGAGAATTGATGTAAAAGAATGCTCTCAAACACCACCTATTTTTCTTCAAGTCCTCTACCACCTCCAAGATGTACATCCCCTATTCCCATGCAATCTCATTATATTCAAGGTTTAACAATAAAGAAAAGCCGACTAATGCAGCACCGCCGTTGAAAAGTTTTTGCCAATAACAATGCATGCAAATATTAAACCCTGTTAGAATATTTAAGTAATAAACTACGCCTTCATCTAATAGCTTAAGCTTTTAGAATAGTTGGCAGTGGTACCACCAAAATCTCACATGATATTAGAGCAGGAGGTCCTGAGTTCGAATCTTTCCAGGCCCCTATTTGCCTCCCTAATTACATAATTCCACGCTTAAGGCTAGGCCAAAGTCTAGCCTACGCGTGAGGAAGAGTGTTAGAATATTTAAGTAATAAACCACGCCTTCATCTAATAGCTTAAGCTTTTAGAACAGTTTGCAATGGTCCCACCAAAATCTCACAAACCCTTTTCCCACTGAGCATGGCATCGAAAAAGATATATAATAGCACAATAAAAGGAAGGAAGCAACTTAAAGCATGCAAAATGCTTCATCAAAACTCTCATCAGAGAGAACTGGTCTGTGAGAAATATGCTTTAAAGCAAACAAGACAGGATGATTACTTATGCATTGAAAGCTGAGAGCAAGTAGTAGTACTAATATTTAGGATTGATGAATTTAAGTTTCATCGAAGGGAAGATGAGCAGGAAAAACACAAGCATCATTCTTTCGTCAAAATTTATTCTATTCAACTTGCTGTCCTATCTGATCAAAAACATCATGACCACAAGATCATAAGACTTCAGTGAGATTCTAAAAGAGCAGAGGACAAGATCTCATACCCATTTGTGGAACAAAAGGGAGAAAATATGAGATGCAAATGACTGACTCCAGAGCTGCACAATCATATCAAGAATAGGTTTTCCACTCTCCGGCGAGCAAACGTAGTAATCGGCAAGGATGTCAAAGTAGCATAATTGACCATGAACGCTATCATCAGCAGGCAATATCGAATCTTCTTCCCTGCTGAGAATTATATCTGTTTTCAATATCAATTAAGGAAAATGAGAAGCTAGGATATTCGTAAGCCTGAAACAGGAATGTGAGAACTTGAGCTGCCGAAACACGCATTGATCCGTATGAGGATCAAGAAGAATTCACATAATGCTTAGTTATGAGTAGATAACCCACCAATGGTCCATTACATGCATTGTGCGTTCTAAGTGCTAACAGACTGCTCCCAGAAACAAAGCTCTAACAAATTCATGCCGCATGAATTCATAATCACTGACTTTCACCCGAGTCAAACTTGTCACTGGTCGCACCGCATTTTTTACAATATCATAATTTATTGTGATCCTTACATGTCATATTAGGATCGAATTGTACTATGCATCCCCGAGAATGTCAGGTTGGGCATTAACAAAATCTTCAGACAGGTTTTGGCAAATTAAACGAATGTAGAAGACACCTTAACCTAAGCAAGAAGACACCATAACCTATGATTATCACCGAACAGCGGCAATGATAGTTATAGGTCCTAATTTTGGCCTTTTCCTCGGATGTTTAAGTAGAACATGAAGGAACCAGACTCAAATTCTCTTTCGAGTGCAGCTCACCTTTCGCTCTATCGTCAACCTCCAATGCTACATCGGCAAACAGCTCTTGCAACAAGTTGCGCCTCTGTGATGCGGAAGCTAGAGCCTGGAGAGAGGAACGCGAGCACATGAATCTCCAAGGCAATAACTAAAAAAGACGGAAACAACAATCTAAACTCGGAATTAGCAACGCTAAGCACAACAAAGTACTTAAACCACAGCTTAGATGTCGGATCAACTAATATATCGCCACATTAAGCAAGTCCTCAGACTTCAGCCAAATCGCGATCGTGCAGCGTCGGTGCTACGGGAAAGGAAAGCTAATCCAACGAACACAAAAACCCGACTATTCAGGCGAATCTCGGATGCCGAATCCCGGCACACAAAGTCAAGTGATCGGACTGACTCGAAGAGGCCAAATCAAAAGGGAGAACGAACCCGCTGAAGCTTTCTCTCGATCTCCAGAGACAGAGCGCTGAGGTAAGCGGAGCTCCGGGGCGTCGAACAAGCAGCTTTCGGCATTTTCCTCCCGACGGCGACACCTCCAATTTCATAGCAATGGAAAGTCGCAACACCACAAGGCCTCCGAATCCGTAACCCTAGGGGCACGCACGCTCGCTCGCTCGCTCTCGCTCCACTCAAAGGAAGAAGAAGAAGAAGAAGAAAGAAACCGAGAGGCCGAAGCTCCAGCTCCTCCCCGTCCCCGCAGCCGGCTATCGCTGCGCAGCGTGTCGATCTTCAGCTCCGCCGGCGAGAGGCGAGAGGCGACGCCCGAACTGTAACGGAACGGAGGAGGAAGAGGGGGGCGAGCGGAGGAAGGAGATGGCGTACCGGGGAAGCAACGAAGGCGGTGGAGGGAGGACGGGGAGAGAGAAATTGGAATGGCCGCGATGGCGTGGCGGGGGTGGGGGTGAGATGCTTGTCGCTGACACATTCCACGTGTTCCTCGTTCTTGATTTGGATTGAATTGAAAGAGACCAAAAGGACGCCCAAATAATTCCAATTTGTTTAACCACGGGTCTCTGTCTCCCTCTCTGGCATAACCATCAAAGAGATCTTTACCGGTGGACGTGACATATAATCAAACAGTCCCTAAGTTAAAAATTTACTTCATATCATGTGCTAAATAAATTTGTTTATAATATGTGATTCTTCGAATATCGTACGACGCCCCCTCCGATTGATTCTTCTTATCCTGCAATCGTCGGTCCACAGGGAGTCTCGTCCGCATACTTGGCTAATATGATAGGCCCATCTTTAGTGTAATTTTTTTTCATTCTGGAATGTCTTGCTACATTGCCTAGATTGATGAACAGAATAACGAAGTGACAGATGGACAGTTTGACCGGCTTGATCGTGGAACTTTCGAGTGCGATAAGGGAAGACGCGAATTTCACATACGATAAAATGGAAGGTGTTAATAGGAACTATTCGGTTATACGTCTCAATTCAAGAGAACAAAAGGCATCCTTATCCTTTGTCACCGATTGTTCGTTGCTACTCACAGAAGACGCGCGAAGGAGCCAAACCTTGCTAAAAAGCAATGACAGATCGGAATCCGACACGCAAAGGAACGAATGCCTGAAGAAACAACTTCACATTGAGCAGCTGATGCCCCTTTCTCTACAGCTTTCCGAGTGAATCGGCAATAAAATGATACCAATTCCTCGTTGTAGCCCATGAAACATTGAGAAACTTGCATATCTCAATTCAGTCGGTGCAACAAAACCTACAGAAATGGAAAATAGGGAACGAACTGAAACAGTGACGAAGATGCAGCTTCTTTTCTGGCACGCGCCTGTAGTTAGCACTTGACAGCGGATACAATCGTTTCTTTATTATATATAGCATCTCTACCAGTCATCTGATTCCATGTAAAGAGATGAGACTGCAGCCAGTGCACTTTGAAACCAAATATGACAAACAATTCTCATTGATCCGCTTAATCAAAGAATATGTACTAAAAAAGCGGTATAAAAGAAGCTATGTATCCAAAGAGTATGATCAATTTTTCGGGCCAACAAGAAGTTAAGTAAGATAGGGTTAATCTATCGGCTACAGCAGACCCAACTGCGAATTGTTTTTCTGTCCACCGTACTGGTCCTGAGGAATGCGGTCAGGGTTAACCTCATTTTCTCTGCCTTCACCTCTGCCTGTGATTTTTTTCTTTTTTCCCTATCCAGCTTGTTGGTTCCGGGAATTGCAATTTAGCTTGTGCAGTTCATTGCTTTACTGGACAAGTACAGTATGGCTAGCCTCAGACGCTATCCAATGACTAGACACCAGAAGCCCACAAAAAGGCAATCAAACTACTTCATCATTAGTCGAGAAAACTAGCAAACTTATTTACTAATGGCATCCTCTCTACGATGTAGTGACGCTTGACGTACAAGAATTGGCATACAGAGAAGGAGGAAGCTATAATACAAGCCTGTGCCACAAATAATGCACTGTATAAACAAGTTATACATACTCTATGCTAGAAGGCAAATGGGGGCGACTGCCCCAACGGAAAGACTTATGGTCCAGATGCACAGAGGTCAATGATATTATCACCACCCCATCAAGGTTCTTCTAACTTTATCCACAATCTGATTTTTAGCCACTGCATTTGTGAACTGGAATTCACAACTCGCTTCCAAGAGAAATCTGTATACTTCCCATTCTCGATCTGATGCAAAATGCCTTCCAATTTCAGCCTGCCAAGGAGAACTATCAACTCTACAATCTGAGCAATCTAGAAAAGTGGTTTTACAATACAAGAGGCACGAATAAAATTATTGTAAGCTGGAAATCAGGCATCACAAGAACAAACCTTGTACTTAAGAATATTCCAGATAGGCTTGCTTGTGTTTATTCACCAGTTATTTATATAATTGTCCGCCTTGATGGAAGGCGGACAAATATAATTTACGGCAAAAACTATCATAGAAGTACTCATATGCTCATGAGTCATTCAGATATTGCTTTTTGGGCTGTCATGCTTACCGAGAAAATACAGATGCCCAACATTTTTAGTGCCAGGGTAACATCATAGAAAACTCGTGGTCTCCCCTTGCCAGATAACTCAACAGGATTAGCTACTAATAAATCGGTGTCCGGCCCACGGCTGGAAATGATAACTCGTAGTGGATGGAGCATCTCCAATTTCAACCTAGAAATAAGTGCACTCTGCTTTTCAGGATCGACAATCTTTTTCCCATCCTTTTGCTGAATAAAAAGGTCTAGATCCCGATGCCCGTTGACATTTGGCGAGAATCGACCATAGGCTATCTGTATCAGGGGAGTATTTATAACAGCAATAAGTCATTAACTAATACAAAAGAGATTAAGTGATGACATCTAGGATGGAATTATAAATCAGTTGACCAATATAATCCATGAAGCTGCAATTCTTAGGCATCAGAGGCCTTAACCCAGGGGTAACACGACATAGAAGAACATACAGGCGGGTGTGCTTAGACATTCTTATCGGAACTTTGTGCAACTTGACATCTTTAAGCATGAATCTATCGCTCACTTGATAAGGATTCTGGAAAATCTATGGGCAGACACGAAGCACCAAAGGAATTATTGATCTAGATAGGCTTACTTCTCTTGCACCAAAGCAATAGGAATATAACATGGATTTGTCAATAAGTGCCCCTAAGGAAACTTTAAAATTTCCAATGCATGGTCTCTCTCGTGTTATGTGCAATCAATATATTGAAAATCAAAACATTTTCCTGTAAGTATACTTAACAAGTGCCCCCGGGCCATCCGTTAATGAGATCTCTACAAAATTTAGACCAAAAATAACCAGCCCAAATACTCAATGATGAAGCGTTTTTCCTGTCTCTCTTTTTTCCTTTCGGAAAAGATGACTTGATAAGCTAGGGCAAGCATATTTCTTTCTAGAATTGCTAGTTTACAACCAAGTTAGGCTGACAAGCAGAAGTCCAGGCTGCATCACAAAGACGTGACATATATAATTGCAACATTAAGGGCAACAATATAGAGAAATTATCAAAATGTACCTGAATATTGCAGTCTTTCAAGGTTCTCATAATGTCATAGAGCAGTCCCTTGTGATCGACAGAGTGGATCTGGAGCAGCGTATGAGCTGGGCTCAGAGAATTGTCTACAGTGATATTGGTCTTCTTCAATTTTGTCAAGTCTGGACTTAGAGCTTGTGAACGAATCTCATTCTTAAGTAGTTCGCATCTAAAAAGTTCTTCAGCTACTGCAGGAGAGAGTGTTGGAATAGCCTGACGGCCCCCATACTCGGGGCCTGCCAACTGGAGTTCACAGCTGATACACGATTCACCTAAAACTGCATGCAACTGTTCATATGTCTGATCTTGCCGTTCCTTCGTGTGTAGAAGGTCCCTGAAAAATAAAAACTACTACATCAACTGATGTCGTACCATTGCTAGATAATCTTTTACTGTCCTCATATAAACACTATGGACATAGATCGAAAGGGAAAAACATATGGCTGCATTGAAATATAATAACAAGAAAGCCTCTGCAAGTAACAACCAACCTGTATTAACAAGCTGTATATCTAAATGCATGGAAAATCTGCATAACTTTCACATCAAATAAATATAATTCAGACAGATGTTCTTACATGTTATCAGTAATGAAGAAGAGGTCCAGGACTCTCCCATCTGGTGTTGTGGTCACTTTCACCTTTTGAATTGCAAGCTCGAGCTCACAGAGAACTTGAGTAACATCTGAAACAAACTCAAATTCGTTTGAACACAGTTTCAAAAGACAAATCAAACAGCATTCTTATATTACATAATACCCAAGATTACCATGTAACAATCCCTTGCGGCCGTGAGAGAGAAACTTCAATAGATAAACAGGAGATGACGGAGAATGTGCTGGCTGCTGGTTAAAGTAAAATTGCAATGAACGCGACGGGCATACGGACATAAGACGGTCTTTCAAGTTCGACCATTTCACAATGAGTGAGCTGGTATGTGGAAGCACCCACAATACAATGTAGCACCATATTCCATCAGTCGAAACATCTGCAAGCAGAAGTAGCTCTCCCCTTTAATAAATCCATTGAGGAAATTTACTTTGTTCAGGATAGTAAAAAATGCATCGGATGCTATGAAAAGAAAGCCCATTACTCAGCCACCAGATTGGTAACCATATACGAGCTAAAAAGCATGATTTGCTTTACTTTTCTTTCGAAAGAGATCAGTCTGTAGCAGTACAACTACTTCAGTGACTAAAAATGTGTAACTACCCTGAGTTGGAGCTCCTTGTTATATCTTAATTACGACATTTCAAGTCAATCAAACTGAACTGAGAATGACAGAACAAGGACAAAAGAATTGCAAATCACAAACTACACCTTAATCAGATTACGAGGAAGCTGTCTGTTAAATCCCTGCATAAAATGTAAAGACAACAGCGGACACGAGCCGCGGCGACCTCGAACGCAGCAAAAAGAATCTCAGCAGACTCAAACCAAGCAATTCCGCAAGCAATTCTCAGAACCGAAAGTGAAGAAACACCACAGAGAGCGAGAGTCACGTATCGCGAGTTCGTCTTACCTCCTCTGGTGATGTAAAGGCCAAAGTCGAGAATGGTCCTGCAGATATCGCATCCGAGGCCGGTCTTGTCGGGGCAATTCACGGTGACGACGTGGGGCTCCCCGGGCTTCTTCGGCTTCTGGATCAGCACCGCGTCGTCGCTCGGGACCCCCATCACCGCGGGCCGGCGATCACCGGTCGGAGCCCGCTCCCGCCGGCGAGCGACGCTCGCATGAAGTTCGGAGCCTCCGGCGAGTTTCCTCCGGCTTTCCACAGAAATCGAGAGAGCGAGAGAGAGAGAGAGATTCCGAGACGCAAAGGATGGGATAGAAAAGTTGTGGGAGGGAGGTGAGAGAACAGGGTCTTTCGTTGTCGGATTGATGTTGGTGTTGGTGGCGGTGGTGGGAGTTGAGAAAGTGTTCTTTGCTTCCGGTTCCATTGAATCCGGTTCACGCGAACCGTTAGATCTGGTGGGTCCCACGCGAGGGTCCCGTTTAATCCACCGGTGCATATGCGACGAGCTCACGTGAATCGGGCGCGCTTAAGGATTTTCGTCGCGAGGATGTCGTCAAGTCCACGTCAGCAATCCGGGGGCGGCAGAGCTCTGTACAGTTGCCGACACGTGGCCGGCTGACAGAACTTGTCCTTTTCCGGGCAAGCGCTGTTCGGTCAGTCCATGGGCCCAAAAAAATTGTTTCCGCAAAGCGCAGACTGATCTTTGGCCAGAGGTTGAAGGATTTTTGCAACAATATTTTCTTGGAGAAATTAGAGAAAAATCATAAATTGATTTCAAAAGACCATCCATAACGAAGATATGGAGCGGCAAACTTAGTCTCAAATGAGATTTGGAGCTCATTGACCGACTAAATGTTTTTCGATTGACGAGCACGAATGATTCACGTGACACTTTTCCAAATTGTGGCGAAAGGCATATTTATCCGAGCTATTATTTTTCCTTGTTATCTTTCTTTTTCTCAAAGCATGTTTGGTGAGATCTTATTCAGAAGAGCAAAATTCACAAGATAGCTGCAAGCAATCTTGCCAGTGCGTTAATACGATTGAAATAAATTTGAGCGACAACACAGAGATGCTATTTGAGCAAAACCCAATCTTTATTATAGGCTGTCATTTACGAGTAGGTTGTTTTTTGGGGAACATAGTGTAAACATGAAGAACAAGACCACTTAGACTATATCGCTCTGTGAATTACTCCTATTACAGAGCGAGAAAGAAAAAACTAAAGGCCGCTTCACCAGGGAGAGCCAAGAGTCACCGGCGATCGACCGGCGATCGGATGCTGTATCGACACAGCTGATGAGGTTGGTGTTAGAACATATCATGACAATCAAAGCCAAAAGCAAGTACGGCCATAGATCAGAACGAAAGTCTAACATCAACACTAAACACACACATCATGAGCAGCCTCTTTCAGCGAGGACAAAGGGTGTTTCGAAATGGCAAATGAGGGTAACATGTAGTACAGTACATTTCGCAATCATGGTTGCTTAGGACAAAAGATCCTCACTCTCTTTCTTGTTTCTATCTTCATAATGTTCTTACGAGAGCCGCGAGATTTCTATCCGCCAAAGTCCTTGTGGGAGCTACCATCGGCTCGTGGCTTCAATCAGAAGAAAAATCCAAAATCACTTCAGGGCAAAAACTTATCAATAACCGATAAAACGTCAACGTTTGTAGCCGAAAGCTTCCAGTCATCGCATCGGATCATTTCTTTCTTAAAAGCACCTTACCGGGTTATTGCTTAGTGTGCGATTATGCACCGGAAGACTTCACACACATCTGGCGAGAACCGATCGAACGTTTGAAGAGCCCCACGGCCACGGTTCAGAACGCGATATGAAGCGCTAGATACAAGGTCCGGACCGATTCAAGCTACGGTTCCAGGTTCCCGTCGAATTCCCTCAAGAATTTGCTATTCTCAGAGGAGAAATTCTTATTCAAATCTCTAGCTAGAAGTCTCTTCTAAGGGGAAAAACGAAAGACACACAGATAAAAGTGAAAAAAGTCAATGTTGATTTGTTGACCGCCGCCCGCAGGCCGAGGGCGGGCCATTCGGATCAACAGAACGGGCTCGGCCTTTTAGTGAAGCCCATATAGGCGGCCCATCTCAACCGAACCCGTCCTCCCGGATCCAACGGCTGACAGCAAAGGGAATCCAACGGCTGCAGGGGGGCCACAGCGTAGGGGGTATTCACCTTCATCGAGCACAGACTCCATCACAGAGAAGCGAAGGGTAGAGAGCTGCAGACACATAGAGAGAGAGAGAGAGAGAAAGAGAGAGATGAGGAAGTTCGATCCATGGCCGGTGTTCTTCAGGAGGGAATTCAGCAGGACGTGGCCGTTCCTCGTCGGCTTCGCCGTCACCGGAGCTATCATCACCAAGTTCTCCCTCGGCCTCTCCGGTACCCTCACTCTCTTTCCTCCTTCCGATCTCCTCCGATTCTCGCGTTTCCCGCTTCACGTCCGCCGTCATCAATTCCGCGATGCTAACTCGCTTCCTTGCTTCTCCCTCGTTGCTTGTCGTTTCGCAGAGGAAGACGCCAAGAACTCGCCTTTTGTCCAGAAGCACAAGAGGTAACAGTCGATCTCCATAACCCTAATCGCGATTACTGGATTTTTGGGGTTTTTTTCTTCTTTTTTTATATCATTCTTTCGAGTCCCATTGGGATGGAATCTTAGCTAAAGCATGCTTAGTTTATCGCGTCTTTGGGGTCACACGATATGAGTCGTGTCGTACCTTGATTTTTGGGGTTGGCGTTTGCTTCTTGAATAGATGGAGATGCAAGGAAGAAGTTCTTGTGATCTACAGGATATGAAATGTATGGAAATGGTTGGCGTGTTAATGTTCGTGCATTTGCCATTATCAAGCAGTGTTATCATATCGTTTGGGTCAAGAATGGGGGAAAAAGAAGGAGAAGGTTAAGCCTAACGTCAACACGATTGTTTGTCTGCTGTTGTCAGGTTTAAAGTAAATTGCTTTCGGCATTAAGACGTGAGATTCTCATTACGGAACTTGCTGATTGATCTTGAGACGAGCCAAAAAGCCGTAGTTTGACCAGTATAACTTGAAAATGTACAATAAAAGGGTCTCATTCGCGTTCCTATTGCTAGCAATGACCGTGTTTGAGGTGTTTGGCATTGACCTTGGCATCTCATGTTGTGCCATTCTCTTTTGCAATATTAGCAGGTCTCACTAAATCCCTGAACTGGGTGAGGGTTGGGTTGCATCCGTATGCATTTTCTACCGTCGCACCTTCCTTGTCATCATGACCCTTGCCGGTAGCTGATTATCAAATTTGTTGGCAGTGCAAACAATTTTTTACAATTTTGTTAGTCTATTTTGGTAGGGGATGACATTAACCTGCTCACTTTCAGTATGATATGACGACCGCATTTCTAAATTACATACCTAAATGGAGACATTGCATTATCGCGAGAACATTTATACTTAACTTGATAAAATATATGAATATCGAGTTTACATGACCTGAATATATAAAATATATTGTATTTCTGAACAAATGGGAACATTGATGATTCATGCGAAGTTACGATATATAATCTCTTACGGGCTGACTTCTTTATGGGGACTTCATTTATCTTAGGAAACCTACTAAGAATCATAGATGTCCGAAATGGGTCAGTAGGTATTTAGAATATAATCTAAGACTTCTTATGACCTTATAAGGATTGGGGATGACACCACCGCATTTGATGCCATACCTAGATTGTGATGCATGCACGAGGTCAACTTGTATATTTCCATAATCTTTGATTAAGGGAGTAATTTTTGTTGCTCATCTATTGTTCGTATCAATGTTGCTGATTGGTTGGCCATAGTGGATGCTTAAGCTGTGAAATGCCTCTAGATAGAGATGGCATCAATTATGTTTTCGGCTTTATATCTTGACCAGGGAGCTATTTGCGATTGGGGCCGCTAGTTACATGGTTCTATTGCTGGTCATGACCTGAATCACTGCTGGTTTTGTCATGAAAAATGTGTGTCATGGTGGTATAGTTGTGCCATGACTGTTTTGATTGTCTCGCATGATAATATTAAGTTTGTGCAGGACATGGAAATAGAAGATTGACATTGCAACTGCATTACTCTTCTTCCTATTGTTTTCTTATAATTATTGTTTGTTAATTTGCATTTATGGTGTTGACCAAATGCCCACATCCTTGTTCCTTTGAGAGAATAATGTGGATGCTGCTTATGCTTTGTAGGTGAATTCTTGGATGGTAATCGCATCGCCCACTTTGCACCTGCGCATCATGGGAGGAGATATTTGCTTCCTTTGTTCGAATTGACGAAATAACAGGAGAAAGATGTTTGGGATTCTCTGTGTTTTTGCTTCTTTTGGATTCTGTGGGTTTCATATACTTTTGACATGAGGCAATTAAGCATCAATTTTCATTGAATGTGCCCCTCTTCTGGGAGTTCTTTTGTCTCATAAACGTGGAAGATTTGGTTGAGTCCAGACTGCTTTGAATTTCTTATAAGGGTTCTAGGACTTTGAAACAGGAAATTAGATTCTTTAATTCGCCAATAAGGAACACCAATTGCCCTTCTAGTTGCTAATTTTAGTGATAGGAAAACTGGGGAGAAAGAACAAGTACTTAGTATCGAAAGATCTTTAAGTTAACTTGGTAAAAACAATTCTTGCTGCAGAGAGGAAAATCAGACGGTTTACTCACCGAATGAGCGGAAGAATGATTTAAAAAGCGATTGTAGCAAAATGTTAATCGATACCTATGATATAGAAGTGTTATTGTGAGTGGAGGTTGTCATGGAAGATGATTCCAGGGGCGAGCTCTTCGGGTGATTTTTCCTGGACTATTAGGATCACCCCACAAGAGTGGGGGATGAAGGGGTGAAAATGATGGGAGAATAGGAATTATGAATTGTGACCACAACTGTTTTTGTATAGGCCTAGGCCATATGGTACGCTATTGCTTTTGTCCGTTCAGTATGGCATCCGCATTAGCAACTTATCTTATGGCCCGTAGGCCATTCATCTGTCCGAAGCTGGTCCACGATTTCCAATTCTAAGCACATGTTGCTTATGAATGGATTATACTTGGCTTACGCTACCAATGGAGGTGCGCTTTAAATCCTACAGAACGACGGGATTTATTGGCTTAAAGATTTAGTCTTTATTCTAAGACTTCATGTTCTCGAATCATCATTTCCAAATGCTCTACCAAGTGAATGGAGGCATTGTGGCCGGTCGCCATTCTTGTACGCTGGTCCCAGGCATTCCTCGTCTCTCTGGGGTAGTAAAGAGGCACGAAAATTACCATAACCTTTTCCGAGGTTGATTGCAACTGATCTACTTTAAGCCAACCTATGAAATAATCTAGGGGTGTTAGCATAACTTTAGAAATCATGTACAATTAGCACAGGCGTCAGAGCAAAGGTGCCTAAGGCACAGATGTAGTAGCGGTGTTTTTGAACAACAGTTCTATGGCGTCTAATGCTGAATATCATAATGTTGCACTTGTCATCCAGAAAAAAAGGACAAAATTATATTGCACTTTCTCGGTTCGGGTAATCAAAGACACAGAAAAAGTATAAAATTCCAAGAGAGAAACAGGAGACAATATCCACTCATTGTCTATAACAGGAATACAGCTTCAGGAAAGCACAGAAAAGAAGTATAGTAAATTGGAATCACGCCACCAACTCCATGCAAAAACTCAGGCAGGAACAACTCCTGCTCATCGATTAATTCAGCAACGAATCAAATCTTTTTGGCGATGCCAAGCCTGGTCCGGAAGTCATTCTCCATTAGAGGAAGGCCGTCTCGCAACTTAACCTTCGGTTCCCACCCCAGCAGTTCCTTGGCCTTTGTGATGTCTGGTTTTCTCTGCCGTGGATCGTCGGGTGTGTTCTCCACCATCTTTATCTCCACCTCAGGGTTAATGAGCTGCAATGGATCATAAGAACAAGCAAATGACTGGCAGTAACTGCAACAGCTCAAGAACACGCCCCGAAACTATAAGCGCAAAGCATTTTCATCACTATCAAGCGAGTAGCATCTTAACGTCGGTACACTCAAGACTACAAGAATAAGCACTCAATGTCCCCATTGACCAAGTAGGCATTGTAACATTCAGTTTTGTTCCAACTCACGAGCTACAGGTGCACTATTTGCAATTTTCCTAAAATATTTTGCATCCCTCCACAATAATATCTTCCTAAAAGAACATAAAATTTTAAAAGAAGTTATCCAGTATCAAGAGGTCACCTCTTTCACTGTTTTGGCAAGTTCGAGCACAGTAAATTCCCCTGAAAGAGAATAAATAAGCATCGAGGTCAGTAATTTCCTGTTTGATTGATGAAGATGCCAATGCAGGTTCATGGGAGCCCATTTGATTGGTATTGAACAGTAAAATTTCTGTTATTAACCTGGGTTTCCAATATTGATAGGTCCAGTATTTTCTCCTTCCATGAGCCTAATGAGCCCATCAACCTTCAGCATTCAAACATATAGTCAGTGTGGAATTCAAAGGAGGAATACCTAACGTTTCAATAAAACGATCAATATGTAGGTTTACATATAACTTACCAAATCGGAGACATAACAGAAACTGCGGGTCTGTGTTCCAGGCATCTGAACTGTCAATGGTTCACCACTGCATGTAAAGATATTAAATGAAATTTACATGTACACTGAAGTGGCCTGAACATATGTAAGTACATATAGATGGGCCAAAAACCGCCAAAGTACACTACATTGGCATGATGACATGGTCAACTTGCAATATTCATGTTTCGTGGTAAATTCATCTCTAAGGTCAATATTCAGTTTCTAGGCAGCAAGTAGAACTGAAGTGCTGAGGACTTACCGAAGTGCTTGAGCAATGAAATTGCTAACAACACGTCCATCGTCGATATTCATTCGTGGTCCGTATGTGTTAAAGATTCTAGCAACACGGATCTCTGATTTGAAGGTAAAAATGAATCAACTTTCAAAAATTATATTAAAATACTTTCTATAGATAAGTGAGCATTTACCAATGCCATGCTGTCTGTGATAGTCAAACATCAAAGTTTCAGCAACACGTTTTCCCTCGTCATAACAGCTCCTAACTCCTGCAACAGAAAATGACGTCCTCATTGAGGTTAAATTTTATCAGATTTGTCAGGGCATAGCCTTAGAGCTTTACTATAGATAGTTCTCACTCTTTCATTTGTCTCCAGTGCATGACACAAATAAACAGCAGCCAAGCATTATACTTAGCGCGAACAGTCAATGTGTCTCATATACTTTGTGCAATCATTTCCTTCCTTTGTACAAGCGCGTGGACATTACAAAGGGTGGTAAATAATACAGTACTGTACATTGATTAAAAGGAGGCAGATAGCAACACTTATTGACTTTGTGTGTATTTGAAGCAGTATATGCTGACACCTATAAAATCTTATAGAACGTGCAAGAGAAATGGCGGGCATTCTTGAAATCAACTAAGGAATGCCTAGACAAACAAAGCATGCAGCCTTTCTTGTTTTTCTCCCCATATAAAGGAGTGAGTTGGCACACACAGCCCATAATGATATATGGTTAATCAAGGTCGGATGAACAGAATTTCAGTAGTTCCAAACTGCAAATTTAGGTAACTCACCAATTGGGTTGACATTGCCCCAGTAACTCTCAGGCTGGGGATGTACAAGGGGATCACCATACACCTCTGATGTTGAAGTGAGTAAAATCCTGTTTATGCACAATCAAATTTTAGTAATTACACTTAAGTTTATAGTTACAAGGCTGAATAAACTAACCTTGCTCCCACTCGTTTGGCAAGTCCTAGCATGTTCAGTGTGCCAATCACATTAGTCTTGATTGTCTGCCAATTTATACCCTTAAACCTTAGAAATAGCTCAAATTGCATAACTATATTATGCCAACTAATATGCGGAAAAAAGCCCATGTATTAAATGTAGTATCATTAAATATTCCATATCTTGAACAAGTGATGAATGAAAATTGAATGAAGTACTATATTTTATATATCAAGAGAATGCTTCCAATCAAAAGATAATAACAATATATGTGTGTAAGGGTTTATTGTTCAAACATTTATCAACTCATGAACATGCATTCTGCTGAAAAGATGCAACAAATAACGATATTGCCAAACAATTTAGCCAGAGCAAGAAAACTCAGGGGATACAATGCAAGATGTGCACCAAATAAGATGATAGTCACAAAGGATAGTAGATCTTCTCTTGGCGACCAGTAATTGAAGAACAAAGGTTCTTTAACATAAAGAGAGTGGGAGAGACAATAACGTGCTGCAGTAAATAAATATTCTAATGAATATGCAAGACCTGCAATAGACTGACTGATGAATTGCTTGATTTTGAAGGGAAAAATGAGAGATTTGGTGCACAGCCTGATGAACTAATGCATTCAAAGTAAAGGCCCTTATACTTGTTATGTTGCCATATTGAATAAAGAGTACATCCCAAAAGAAATCACCTTGACAGGATTGTACTTATAAAAGATTGGAGAAGCTGGGCATGCAAGATGATATATTTGGTCGACTTCGACCAACAATGGCTCTGTGACATCTGTAGAGAGAAAAACAATAGTTTGATTCACAAGACCATCAAAAACACACACACACACACACACACAGAGGGTTGAAGATCATGAAATCTACAAATCAAAAGTACCGTGTCGAATAAGTTCGAATCTTGGATGTCCAATCCATTTGCTAAGATTGTCCTTTGACCCAGTGAAGTAATTATCTGCCACAATTACCTGACATACAAAACTAACCAGGTTAAGGAAACATGAATGTTAAGGCGAGAAAGTTAAACGTGCCGGTGCCTGGTGCTAGTCCTAAGTAAACTCTATGGATAGGAAATGACAAAAAACTAGGGAGGAAACCCACCTCATTCTTCTCATTCTCCATTAGCCTGTCCACCAAGTGAGAGCCTATGAACCCAGCTCCTCCAGTGACGAGGATTCTCATGTTGGACTGCCATCATCAACAGTAGAAAATTTTTGAGGACAAGAAGAGTAGAGAAGCGGTGAACTTATAGCGACCATGGTCTTCACGATTGATGAAATACAGCCACTGAGAAATGATGCTAGATATGAATTGGTTCCATACAAAACAAGGAAGGACAATTCCATGTCAAGGAAAAAAAATCAAGACAACGGTAGAGGGACTAATCTTGGCTCTACACAAAACAGGGGAGGACATTTGCATCCTTAGATGAAAGAAAATAAAAAGTAAAGCAGAAAACCATAGGCACGAGTGGGGATGGGAACGAGAAACAAGGATCGTAGAGCAGGAACAAGAATGAGATATCCAAGAAGACAAATCAGACAGTTGAATCGACTAAGTCAGATCTATCACTCACAGATTCAACAGGATGAATTACATAACCTTCCGACGACATAATGCCTCCAGCGACGTGGTCCATCCCGTCATCAAACAAAAATCGACAACAAAAGAAGCATGAAGGGAAGGGAGCCCATGTATGCTAATATGATACAAGAACTAACTCCCTAGTTACTACTATTTTTGCAGTTCCTCAAAAGCATGTTGTGCTGATGTTTCATCGATATCTAAAGAATTAGCTAGTATAAACCCCAGATGACCATATCACGAGAAAGCAAAAGGAAACAAAGCCTCCTACCTGAAAGAATTTGGAGTTGCGCAAAGGCGAAGGGCTCGGAGGCGGTTTTGTCGCCGCCTGGTGCTCCCCGTTCGACACATTGTTAGCCATCGTGTCCGTAGTTAGATCCTCGACGACGCTTTAGGAATCTACAAAGATTCACAACAGAGAAAGCCTACTCATAAGCGCCGGTGATAAATACTTTCCAGCTAAAAATCGCGTCACAGGGTTAGATCGTGCTACATCGAATACCAATCGCAATCTCTTGAACATTCAGTTTTTCCCAAGGACAACACATGCATGAACCCATCCGTCCGCGACGAAAGAGTTTCGAAGCTTTCGCCCTACTCAGACTCAAATCACGCGGCCAGATGTGATGTGTGCGACTCCCAGTCAAAATGCTGATCGTCCCAAGTCAAACGAGCTCACGAGCGGAAGAAGGACCGGTAAAGATCAAAGCAAACGCACCTTACAGATCGAACACCGAGGAACAAAAGGAGAGACTCGCGAGGCAAAACACACCTCAATCCTCAATTCGATCCACGAACCTCAGACATCGGTCACTCATCATATATACAGCTAGGCTTTAGCACAAGAGAATGATCGCGGGAATCGAAACTTCCACCACCAGACCAACCACTAAAAAAACAAAGAAGAAGGAGGAGGAGGAGAGGGGGACGGAAATCAATGATTAAAAATGACGGGAGGCTTCGCGATCAAGCGAAACGGCGAAGCAGCAGCGTCCGCGACAGCTGCATCGCAACCAACAACCGAAGCAACCGATCTCACCAAACGGAACAGCTACGACATTCCCATCACGGAATCGTTGGCTCCAAGTTTTGAAATATTCTGTGAGGCGCTCGATCATTACCTCCGGCTGATCTCCCGGATTCGACGCGCGATTCGCTTACGGCTCTGCTCGGCGATTCGCGAGGTTCCTTCGAGACGGAGGATTTTACCGTCCGTCAAGGAGGAAGGGGCTTGGAGGAGGAGGATGGGGAGGGCATATGCATTGGAATTTGGAATCAACTCCTGAATGAGAGTGGGGAAGTGAGGAGAAGGTTCTCCTCCACCGCCTCCTCCTTCTCCTCCTCGTCCTCCTCCGTCTTCTTCTTCTTCACTGGTTGAAAATTGAAAATGTTTTTAATTTTTTTTCTCTTTTTTAAAAAAAAGAAGGGGGAATAATAATATGAAGAAGATGCTGTCGCAGCAATTGCATGGGATTGGTCTCCGCTCCGCCATCGCTCGTGCTGGGGCCCCACTTGCCCGTTTTGACTACGATGCGAGGGGACGGACGGTCGGACCTCTTTCCCCCGTTTTCTCGGGGACCACATTTTCTTGTTTTAATTGTTTGTCGGGGAAGATGACACCGACTAGTTCCCGAAATTTAGCGTAACGTGTAATATGATTGATAAACTTTATCTCAATAAATAATGTAATTTTTAAATTTTTAATTTATTCATCATATTCAATTTAGTGTTTGTACTGAGAATATTTAATTTAGTGTTTGCACTGAGAATATTCAATATTATCCTTGAATATCGAACATGCTCATTTTTCATATTATACATTAGGTTAAAATTTAAAAATTATGTCGAACTGATTAAAATTTCAGAGATTATGTTTATTCGATATTTGCTAAAAAAAAGAAAATTATATAAATTGCGAAATTCAACGCATTTTGCATACCTCGCTCGGCCCTTGGGAAAAATGAAGAAACTGATCTTACTAATAAATATGATTTGCAAGAAGCAGTGGAACAACTCTGTGGCTGTAGTTTAGTGGTAAGAATTCCACGTTGTGGCCGTGGAGACCTGGGCTCGAATCCCAGCAGCCACAATTGTTTTCTTTTCTTTTTAATTTTTCAAAAACAAACATTTACACAGAAAGAGATGATGTTTCTCTTCTTCTCGTGTCTCAGCTGCGCAAGGCCTGAATCTCACGCAACAAGTCGCGCGAGTTCGCAATTTGGCTGGTCGGGTTTTCCCACTGCACCAGTTCTTTCATGGCCTTCTCGATTTCTCTCACTTCTCTTAGCAAGCTACTCATGCAGTGTATCAGAGCGCCCAAGCTGAGAACCATTTCGCTTTTGATAGCGTTCTCGGCTCCGACGCCATCGCCGCCATCGCTGCTGATTCCATGGAGCACCTCTCGGGAATGCTGAAGATAAGAGCCCACCATCTTCTCAACGTCGCCTTCATCAAGACAAGGCATCGGTCGGTTAGGTTTCGTTGCTTTCCCCGACTCGAGATCACAAGAACCACTGGCCTCTTGAAGCTGCTTCTCGAGAAGCGAGAGTGACTTGATTGAGTTGATCTCCTCGAAGCATTTCAGCGAAGAGGTCGCGAGATCTCTGAACAGTGCGAGGTCGCTGCGAAGCTTGTCCAGGGCCTCTTTTGAAGCAGCGGCCGCAGCCTCGAGTGCTGACGATTCTTGTTCGAGGAACTTCCGTGCATGGCCACAGAAATGCAAGAGGTCCACCATCTTAAACAAAGACCCCAAAAGCCTACCATAGCAAGCACTGTGAAAGGGCAGGAACCAGAAGTTTGGCTCTACCTCGGCTTCTTCGATGCACTTACCCAGCTCAAGCACTCTCATCTTGACCCTCTTTTGGGTCTCTTCAAGCCTGGACATCTTGGCGTTGTCGAGTACACCCAATGTTGTGACCGCGACAATGCACTCACGTAATGCCCCGAAACAATCAGTGAGCTGACGCTTAGCCAGAGAAGCAGCTCTCGTGGGCTGCATCAGAAGTTCCACCGCTATCAAACAAGATAACCCAATGAAGGTCTCGACGATTCTTGCGATAGCGAATTCGCTCGGCGGGCCGAAGTTTCTCCTACCCAGTATCAAGACGGCTCCGATCACAGCCGAGACGCCGCCTGCTGGGCCGTACATTTTGCTCTTCCTAAGAAAGCTACAGAAGACGAGCCAAGGGACGAGAGAAAGAAGTCTTACGGGCAAAAACCTCTGAAAAAGAAAGCAACCCAAGACTCCATAAACGGTTCCTAGTACCGTGCCCTGTGCCTTGACGTTGGCCAGCTTGAAAGTAGCCTCTCTGGCTGAGGAATAGCTCACGGCTATCGGAAGCCCGGCCCAATACCCGTCCTCCTTGCTGTATATAAGTCCGAATAGCACCGCGAGGCCCAGCGAGAGAGAGCACTTGAACGCAGGGACGAGCCTTTTGGGGCTCATTTTGAAGCCCCATTCGTTCCAGACTCTTCTGAAACAGAAAGGAAGCCCACTTTCTTCACCTGTTGTTGACTGTTCGTCTTTTTTAAGAGGATTGTCTTGTGGTGATGTCGATGGTGTGGTCTTGCTGCGGAGGAGTTGCATGCAGAAGAGGAAGAAGATGGAGGGCAAGTGATCGGGCAAGGTCGGTACTCTGTGAAGAGACTCGAAGAAGCCGGTTATGTTTTCGGAAATGGATTCGGGGACGGTTGAAGTAGAATCGCCAGGGAAAAGCCAGCCCTTAGATTGCCTCATAATCAGAGTAATGTGTTCGTCTAGAGCGAGTTTGCAGTTTTTGAGCGGTCCGTCATCGTCAGGCAATGTAACTGGGAACGAAGTAATGCTTGTTAATGCCGTCTCCATCCCACGCAATTGCGTCTCTAAACTCTCCTGTAACCTTTCTCCTGGACTCGTGTGGTATGATCTCAAGGACGTGAACGGAACTCTCTCCCAGAGCGCACCTTCCTGTTGTTCAATGTCAGAACGGTGTCGTTCAGCTTCCAATATTGGTGAAGGAGATTGAGCATGAGCAGTGAGTTTCCATATCGCACGTTAGCGTAGAATGATAGAGCGAGTACTCGGTTTGTTACTTTTGCGTCAGTTTTCTCTTGGTATTTCAAGACAAAATTCAAAATCTTCAAATACGCAATAATGAAGAGGTTATGGGATCTAACCAGTTCTGATTAAAAGTGCCAAAAATATTTTCAAATTATCACCTGATAGCGTTTGATATTCTGCAGAAGTTTGTTTCCAGCATGAGACAAGCATTTGGCTCGAGAGATGAAGGCGAGGGCGGACGCGTCGTCCTCGGCGAGGAACGCCCTGGCAAAGAGCTTCAACCTCTTCGAGGCATTCTCCACATAGGCCCGGCAGTTCTCTTTTATCTGCATGCAGAATTCTCCATCGTCAAATATTTTACGAGGGGCACGCTAATGTTAAAGCTTACTGGAAAAAAGAAAAAAAACTCCACGCTTCCAGAAAATCCATGTAGTAGAGAAACCTACTGCAATGGGTATAAAGTCCAGGACCAGGATCAGGATCAGTTGAGTGAACTTGACGTGGTTGTCGTAATGTGTGTACGCAGAACGTTATGTCTCTATGCAACCCAAATCTAAGTGAACTTCATGTGAAGAGTACGTAGGGTTTTAGAACATTTGCGGTAGAAATAGAAGAACCAAGTACCACTACTATTCCCTAGACGAATGGAGCATACTCTTTCCTTAACTACGGTTGACCGAGGTGACATGCAATAATGAGCGAGACCAGGGACAAATATAATGGATACAATCGAATTTATCAATAGTCATATGTTATGTGACCTAGTAAACATGATTTAATTATATTCTCATAAAGACCCCACGAGAATCCTCCCCTTCTTTCATAGATATGACTGACTCTGATTCGATAGGGACAGTGTAGGTAAGAATCGCTCTCATCTCGTAGGGATTGTGAGCTAAAGTTGGTCATATCTTGCATGCATTGATTTGGGGTACCTCATGACCGGCCGTCCTAGGGAAGGGGAGCGACAGGGCCAGTGGGCAAGCGAGGGCCCCGACCGCCGTGCTAGCGGCCACGTGGAGGGGGTGCGTGACCGCCTCGATCCGCTCCTTCTCGATGTACCCGATCACGTACAGCAGCACTATCTGCCCCAGCGCTATCCGCTTCGCCGTCCCGTGCGTGGCCGCCCCCGGCAGCGCCACCACGAACGACGCCAGGGCCACCGCGAGCGCGGCCGTCCCGCCCGACAGCCTCGCGGGGCCTATCAGCCGCAGGCTCAGTATCGCGGGCCCGACGCTCTGGGCGGTCGCGCACAGCGCCAGCCAGCACCCGCGCAGCGCGTCCCCCAGGGAGGCGTCGGTCACCACCAGGATGACAGTCACGTAGGAGAAGGCGGGGAGTGATGCGGCGCGCCGCAGCGGGGGCGGCCCGTACAGGGTGGCGCACGCCACGACGGCGCAGGCGAGCGCGGTCCGGAGCGCGGACGCTAGGCACGCGCGCCACAGGGCTCGCGCTTGCTCCGATACACCCGAAGAAATCCCGCGCATCATGGTGAAAGAGGAGCTGTCTGTGCTGCGGTTCTCGTGCGCGTTCGAGGGAGCGATGGAGGACGACGAGGTTGGCTCGAGAGCGTAGACGAGCGAAGTGAAGGGGGGGGGATTTTGTAGTAGTACGGGAGAGAGGAAGACGAGGACGAGGACGAGGATGAGGACGACGTGTGAGTGGGGGAATCGATGGTGGCGTGCGTGCATTGCCGACGCAGCTCGACTTTATGGATTGTCAACCTCGCCCATTAGTTCTAATTCGTAATCAATGTGATCAAAAAATTGGATACCCATCATCACGCACGAACAACTTTTTCGGGGGGGGTGCGGTTCGTCGTTATTTACGATGATTTTCTTATTTTTCCGATGATCTAGGGAAATTTAACGTTTAAAATTAGGCAAGAAAGGAGGAAATTGATTAATGGCGGGTTCCTAGATAAGGAATTTATCGTAGTGGGGAATTACACCATGTAAAGTTGCACACCAACCCACTCTTTATATTTATTTATTTACGGCATATGAAAAGCTTATGCGCTCGAAATTTTTATGTTTTTTTTAACCCTCGTTCTATATTCTGATCAAGGTTGGAGGCGCCTTTGCCCTTTGGAGTATCTGAATAGGCTGCGAGTGCACATCTTTAAAGACATTGTGATTTACCAATTAAGGAAGAAGAATCTGGAGATATCAATCAAAATCTGGAGATATAACCCTATGTCCTTCATGTGATTGTCGTACGGTCGTCCAGTTTAAAGTGCATATGCTTGCTAATAATGGAGATTCGAAAACGAATGGAGAGATGGTTTACTCCGCGGTTGAAGCTACTGTTATGAGTTTTAAAGATTTAGGAATTGATGATTACTCTCATTTGGGTCGTCAGAGATCGATTTTCTTGTAGAGTTAGTACATCACGTCGCGAGCAAGTCATTGACCAAGGTAGGTGTTTGACTGCGAGATTGCATCGCCTTATGGAGAAATGATACATGATCAAGTCATTGACCAAGGTAGGTGTTTGACTGCGAGATTGCATCGCCTTATGGAGAAATGATACATGATCGATAGAATCTCGATCCTGTTTAAATGCACTTGTCAGGAAAGATGCAATATCTAACATGGTATAAAAAAAGGGCATATACATGATTCCCATACCTGTTGGGATATGCCTTACTTGCTGGAACATTAATTATTTGTGAATTGAGAAATGCACAATTTTAAAGAGTATTTTTTTCGAGCGTCTATTTTTCTCTCGCTCGGAATGTGATCATGAGCTTCTCAACCTTGAATCTTCGCAATATTAGTGGTGCCATTCGCGACTCAAATTGAACATTATAGCCGTGGGAGCCTTATGGTAATCCCCATGGGAGGTACTTGCTCTGGTTCCTATCCCCATCCTTTTATCCACAAAAAGAAGTCAAACAAGTTCTATTTTCCGAGGAACTTATTCTTCCTTTAATGCAGTGAGCGTATCTTATCATGTTCAAATTAACTTGAGATTTTATGGCAATTTGTGCCCATTACGTAAGGTCTAAACATAAGAAAAAGACACAAGATGGAACGTGGCACATAGGCTTGTACTCCCGTTCGTCAAAGCGAAAAAGCAAAAGAGGTTACGAAGACGAACTTATGTGAAGCACAAGGAAGGGAACCTAAGCCATAGATTTTGTTAAAGCTGCTCTTTGTGTAGAGTTTGATCTTTCATATGTTTTGGGAAACTGACATTTGCATTCGTCGCAAGAGAAGGTTATTTTTTGCCTTTGCTCAAAAGTGTTAGGATTAAGCGCACAAACACAAAGACGAGAAAGAGAAATCGAGATGCGAAATTTTATCCCGGTTCACCATTAAACTAGGATTACATCTAACAGATGATTCCACTATAATTAGCACATTACACCTCTCTGTTACTACTCTTAATTACGAGAGAAAGATATTATATATAGACAGCAACTATTCATGAGTTTTGTTATCAATAAAATACAAGCCCAATTTATAAAAACCTTCTGGCGGCTCAGGAGTGCTATCCCTTGTCAGAACAGGACCTCCGTGCCAGCCTATCAATAAAGAGCATGAACTACACCCAAAAAAAGTTGGTCAGGATCTCCAAATTCTTGAATTGAAATGTGCGGTTGGGAGTTCTCGGTCGACCCCTAAAAAGTAGCGGAGGACGTCGTGCTAGCATCTCTCTATTCGGAGCCCGTCCCTTTCTGCACAATGAGTGAGTTTCATTTGCTGCGCTGCCCTTTCCTCGAAAGATTCAGACCTTGACTGCTCAGCCTTTAAGGACACTTTCCACGGCGGAAGATGGAGGCTTTTCCCACCCGAGTGCTTGGTCGGTCGACCAAAAGAGAGAGAATGGAATTTGCTCGCCATCTTCATCCAGTCATCATCTTAAGATAACGAATAAACTGAGAGTACGAGCACCAAGCTCCAAGAACATCATTAGATGCGAATATGGGGATGATGAGCCACTTAAAGAAGTTTTAAACAGGAGGTTTAGCTCCTTACATATGTCTCACTTTTGCCATGATAATTAATCATTGGACATCCAAGAGTAATTAATTTTACGTAGGGATAATGACATAAATGGTCCTTAAACTTTGGCCCAATTTGCCAAATGTGTCTGATGTGTGTAATATAGACTTTAAATTTGTTAAATGTGATCCTTGAACTTTAACTCAATGTAAACTTTTAAATTGTTCAATATTGTCCTTAGACTTTTGATACATGTTCAACTTAGTCCCCAAACTACACGAAAAATGTTCAATGTTATCCTTTCATTAATTCAACTTCAATGATAACATTGAACAGTTTCATATTAAGCCAAAGTTTATTGACTATTTGTGCCATTTTTCCTTGTACATATGTTACAAATCTAAAATAAATGAAAAATAATAATTAAACCTTCATTTCCTCGGTGAAGTTTGCGGATATTGAAAACAGGTAAAATCTGTGAAAACTCATGTAGGGAAAAATCTGAGTTTTTAGATCTTGTCTTGTGCTCATGGTCGTAAAAACTCGCAGTTTCACTTGCTTTCCTTTAATGCACCTACAATATAGTCACTTTTACTTCATTCGTTTTAAAACTTATTGACTTGATAATCAAATCTACCAATACCAAGTACTAACACATCTGAAATATAATTACTAGCACATATCGAGATAGTTACTGTCGCAAGTGCTTCAACACAACAGATAAACAAAGTCACGGTGGCAAATGCATAATGTCGACCTGCGCGTAAAATCCTAACTCAAATGCGTACGGCAAAATTCTATCCATAATTGTGGGGGCTCGAGACAACACTAGAAAAGTTCGATTCCCTAGCACCTGTAGATCGAGCATACAAACTGTTGTTTCCCCCGTCGCAATGTGACTCCAACTTCGTGACAAGACAACAAAGCTTTAGAGCCGAAGCTCGAGTTGGGGCTTAGTCATCACGAATGATATGACATTGACCCAAACGAGGAAGCAGCTGCATCCTTCGAAAATTTTCCTCCGGACAAGCGTCCTAGGTCGATTAAACTAATGCGCGAGAGCAAGAGATTAAGTGGGATTTCCCTAGATCTTCCACTTACCCAAAATTTCATGTCCCCAAATTCTCTGTTTCTCCCTAAAATCTGCTCCTTCGGAAGGAGGAAGGGTCGCATGAGACGCGGTCGATGCGCTTATCAAAGGAATTTTATTACTCCCACGAGTTCGTTAAAGCATTCGTATATTACACAAAAGTTAGCTAAAGCGAGAGCCACGCATCAGAATCTGCAATCGCCCACAGTGCTGCAATTGGGTCGGACAAGGACAAAATTCTTTCTTCGTTGACGACATCAAAAGAAGCTCCAAAAGTTCAGTTGTGAATTCAGTCGCCGCTAGCTAGCAGCTCTTTCTGTGTTCAGAAATGCCGGGTCAACGTCGGTTAAGGTCCAAGTGTTCCGAGCTTGAATAGCGTCGTTGCACTGTGACTTGTACGTTTGGCAGCAACACCTGTTTTGTAAGTGCGACCCTCTCGTTGTATGGGACAACAGCATGTATTTCGCAAGGAGGCTCTTTCGGAAAACCCAGAAGAATAATTTAAGCTCCTGTAGAATTGGAATTCGAGTCAATTTTGTTGGACCGTTTGGACGTCTTTCGACTTTTCTCATCGAGACATAAAGTAAAGTCTCAAACGTTCGGAACAGAAAATGCATGTCCTGTTCTCTTTTACATCCCTTCTTTTTCTTTAAGCATGAGTAGCGCCAAGGATTTGACCTAACATAATAGCGAATTAATAACGAAATGCGACAGCTCTTCTCGTTTCTGCCGGGCCCGTGGTAAACAAGTGGAGTGACTCAGATAGCACATATTTCATTTGATACTTGAAAAGAATTAATTTTAATATATGTAAAGGAAGCTATGAGGCTCAGTGAAGAATTAGGCTTTAGAGAAGAAAATTGTATTCCTCTTTTTTCTGTACATGATTGTGTTGCAAATACAATATATATAAAGGACTCTAAGAGATAAGATACGCAAGGTAACAGAATAACAAATATTCCCTAAATATTTTCTTCCCTTAACAGATAAGATACAAAAGGTATCAGAACAATAAATATTCCCTAAATATTTGATGAGTATTTTCTTCCCTTAACATCCCCCACAAGCTAATGGTGAGGGTGAACCATTAGCTTGGACCGCAATTGAAGAAACTGGCAGGTAGGCAAGCCTTTAGTGAAGATATCGGCAGTTTGTTCTTCGGTAGAAATGTAGCGGACTACCAATTGTTTCCGAGTAATGCGTTCCCAAATGAAATGGTAATCAATTTCCACATGTTTGGTTCGAGCATGAAACACAGGATTTGCAAATAAGTAGATGGCGGATAAGTTATCGCAAAAAAAGAGTGGGCGGCTCGGGTGGTTGCACGTGAAGATCCCGAAGAAGATATTCAAGCCACATTAACTCCGCCGTTGTATCAGCAAGACATTTGTATTCTGCTTCGATGCTGGAACAAGCCACGGTCCATTGCTTGCGAGATGACCAAGAGATGGGATTTGGTCCGTGATAGACATAGAACCCACCAAGAGTGACGGTCCATTCGGTCGCCCGCCCAACTGGCGTCAGAAAATGCATGGAGCT